CATGTTGGTATCAGTTCGGGACCAGATCGCGGAGATCCAGAGCAACGACCATTGCCGGCATGGCCAGAGGTACCTGAACCTATGCAACGGCTGGGTGAAGCCATGGGCAGTTCGGGCTACGAGTGGTCACTCTGCGCATTCAGATCCCCAGAACAACTTGCTTCAGTTGGACAAGAACAGGTTCGCAATATCTCCATCTATGACCCTCTTGCAACGTCTTGGAGGTGCGTTCCACGCTACGGCATGCCGCAACTTGGATTCCATTGTCACGCAAGGCATCATGCCTGGTTCGGAGGACCCCGACGGGGACTTCGACCATCGGCGCCAATTCCGAGGCAACCAAGGCGGCAGACTCCACAGCTATTGGGGGGTGTTTGCGCCGTTCGATCACCGGAACGCAACGACCAAGATGCGAGTACACGGACGAGACGCCAAGCATATGCCATTGGCGGTTCTTCATGTCCCATCGCAAGATCTTGCACGAGAGGATGGACGTATCACAGACAGCGGCATCATGATCGTTGGTCGAACGATACCTTTCCATTTCGTCAAGGAGGTATGGTTTTGCGTCCCTGATCCTCGAGATACACACTCTTTCGCTCTGGTGGAAAAGATCTACGATGAAAGGTTGGAGAAAGAGCTGGTGTTGGACTACAATGCATCACCGTTGCTTCCCGAGTTCGAGAGATACCGAACGCCAAGCAAGATCATGGAATTGCTTTGCGAGATGCCTCCTGGACCCCACGACACAAGCAAGGAGCAGATCATTCGTGACCTCACGACTGTCCTGGAGTCCCACAGGGAGAACACGGTTCGGCATCACTACATGGACAAGGGAATCAAGTTTGTCATCAAGAATTGGCGACCCGAAGACCTACGCAGAGACGAGGATGGACGGAGAATGAGGGTGTGCCCGGCATGCTACAACATTGTTCCAGCATGTTTCTCCCGATGCACGTCTTGCTGGTCACAGTTTATTTCAAGCGGATATTACCAAGGTTCTCCACAACGGGATACTCCTACGGAGATCCCCAGTGACTTCATTGCTCAGACAATGGAAGCCGCAGCAGCCGCAGTGCCTGAGGCGCCCGAAGAGGAGCAGGAAGCCATGGAGGTAGAGACCGTTGCGGAACCTGAAGAAATCCCAGAACCGTCTGTTGTCGCGGAAGACGATCCAGAACAGGAACCTGATGAAGAAATGGACGTCGAGCCTGAAGAGGACTTTGATGACGCAGTTCCGGAAGCAATCGCACAGGAACGTCGTCCCGTCTTCATTACCGGCCAGTCTTTGAACATCGATCCTGAGCTACAACTTGCACGTACCGCCATGCAGCCATCCTACTATTCTGGAAAGCGAAATGCCCATTGCATTGACGCGAACATGACCGCTCTGTCGTACATGGCATACGTGGTATGCAGATCCATCTACAAAGCTTGGTCAGGATTCGCAAAGTGGGCGACTATGCCGTTGTTTCAGATGAGGGAAAGTTTCGCACTTGGCCAACGCTATGATGTGCTTGGAAAGTGGGGATCTTTGGCAGCAGTGGATAAGGAAACAGGTGTCAGCAGGGACGTGACTGATGAGGAGATCATTCGCTTTGCGAAGGAACCTGAGAACCTCAAACAGTATGATCCCAACGGGACTTACACCTTGAAGCGCTTCCGAACGAACCAGATGCTTTCTTTACTTGTACGTGGAGCCAACATGATGGGAATTGGCAGGGACAACTTCAGCCCTACTACTTATTTGAAGAGCGACAGGGATGAAGATGTAAAGGCAATGCACTTTTGCTGCCTGAACGTCCTATGCGAGGTGATCCCAATGGTGACGGGACACCAACAATTCTCAGTGCTACGACCAACGCCAACTGGACCGGTGGACTTCTTGTACATCGACCCCGTCGGTATTCTGCTAACTCATTCTGATCAGTCAGTCCAGACCATTGCCTTGCTGGTGGACCACAGTGTTCAAATGCCTGCGCATTTCATGGACAGATTGAACAGATCCAAGACTGAGAGACAGCAAAACCCGACGACAAGGCGTACGGAAGCCCTACACCACATTTCGGCCGCTGACTATCTTCCTCCAGGTGGTACTTCCATCCTGGACACGCCTGTCACTACGGAGGAACGTGAAAGCGCTTCTTCATCCAAGGGACCTTCAAAAGGGCGTGGAAGAACCGGAGGCGAGCAACATGGTGGCTGGAACACCAATTCCTACCACGACTACATCGCCGCCAAAGGCCGAAACAAAGGCAAGGACAAGGGAAAGCCAAGGAACCCATATCCAGAGGAGAACCTCCGGCCCTGGGAACGCGATCCTACGTCAACGCGAAGATGGTGGCGAGACAACGCCTGATCTTCCTCGCCTATCAGTTCGTGACCTCTGAGCTTCGCCCGTGGAATGCCATCGCGAATGCTTCTTTCTTCGGTGACGCCTGATTCGTTTGTCATTTCAGGGGATCGTTACTGACGTAGATGAGTGTCACAACGTTTCTAATTGGGATACAAAGCTCTGATTTTCAATGTCAACGTTGCGGCGGAATTTTCTTCTGTCCTATCGTGCCATCTTCCGGGTGAGCAGCGTCGGAGACGCAACTCATGGGGGGTGCGAACGGACTGCGATGCCTTGTCAGTTCTAAGGTGTCACTATAAGAGCTGTGAGCAAGACCGTGTAAAGTGCAGAGAAGGGGGCACGCTACGCGTCCCTCGACTCTAGGGGGCATGCTACGCATCCCTCGTCTTTACCTTTCTATGTGACCGCCAACGCAACGTTTGGCTCAAGTCAATGCCCATAGCTAAGTGCTATATGTGTCTTCTATCCTGAGCAATCAGAGCTATCCCGTTGCACAACGAACCGCCGCCGGCAGTGAGTGCAAAAGGAACGGCCGCCGGTTCTGCCTGCATAGGATCGCACGTGTGGGAGTAAGAGGGAGAGACAGGGTCCAGTCTGTGGAGAGTGCTAGCCAGCCACACCTACATTCATTACAGCTCTGGTGGGGAGAGCAGCAACCAAGTCGAGATCAATCCCCCACGCATATGTATATAATATATATATATATGTATACATATATATGTATATATATGTAATATATAGGTATATATATGTATATATATGTATATTATATATGTATTTATATGTATATATGTATATATATTTATGTATGCATTTATATATATATATATATATATATATATATATGTATATATATCTTTGTATATATATAAAACGTATGTATATATGTAATATGTATGTCATTATATGTATATATTATATGTATATATATATATATATGTATATATACACTATATTATGTATAATGTAGTATATATGTATGTATACGTATATTTTATATATGTATATGTATGTATATATATATATATATATATATATGCTTATATAGATGTGTATTTGAATATGTATATTGTATATATATGTATTTATATGTATATATATGTATATATATATATATGTTTTTTCAAATATGTTTCTATGTATATATGTTTATGTATATATATATGCATTTATTTTTCTATGTATATATGTATATATGTATATATGTATATACGTATATATATATATATGTATATATATGTATATATATGTATATATATATATGTATATATATATGTATGTATATGTATATATGTGTACCAAATTATGTATACAAATATGTATATATACAGATATGTATATAAACATGCGTAAAAATGTATACATAACATACACACATATAAGTCACATATATATATATATATGTTTGTATATGTATATATACGTACATACATGTTTGTGTGTGTATATGTGTATGTGTATGTAAGGCGATGCGGGCGCGGCTGTTGGTGACTTGCTCGCCATCCCTTTGTCGCTCGCGCAGCACCGGGCTTCTGGAGATCCTACGGGTTTCCGGGCTATTGGACGTAGCCGCGACGTCGTAGCGCTTGGGGTGCGAGATGGTTGGATTGGTAACTCTGCACAGCCCGCTTTCTCTGCCTCGCTTTGTGCGTTCCATGTGCTCCGTTGGTGCGATCGATGTGTTAGTAGCAAGGCAGCACGCAGCCGCCTCCCTGCCCGTGTCGCGCACACCGCCGTAAACGGCAGTTCCCACCGGGACAAGGGCCCTCCCTGCCTTGCGACATTTTTCACAATTTTTTCATGGATGCGCATGCGCATCCATGAAAACGATGCTTTACGATGCTTTACGTAAGCCGCCGCATCCCCCGCTTCCGCCTCCTGCGTTTGCAGTCTTTGCAAGCTCCGTTTCTTTTCGCACTTTTTTGTGTCGCTTTTTTACGCGAAGTTTTATTTGTATTACGACGACCGGAAAGGGTGGAAAATGATCTGAACCGCACAAAACTTGGCCGACGAGGGCCGTGGCGCAAATGGAGATTTGGTTGCGACGCAAATGGAGACTTGTGGTGCAACAGCTGTTGCTTCTGCTGCGCTCCTGTGTCGAAACACCTGTGCCGTACACGGCGTACCCTACCCCCATATTGCTCGACGCAGAAGCAGGAATTTTTTCGCCCGCGAGTGCGCTTTCCTTGAAGGAAGCGATGCCCTTCTGCCGTGCCCATGCGTAACGTGCGGCACTTTGAATCGTTCCCCGTCACCGACGGCCTTCCGCTCCAGCAAGAGGCTGAAACCGTAGTCGACGCCGCCGTAATGGCCTACAAGCGGCCTTGACGGTTTAGGCCCATGATTTTGCTGCGGACGGGCGTCGACGGCCCGCACTGCACCCACTTCGCAGCCAGCTCATCAAGCACCAAGCACCGTAGCTGCCCCAGTCTGGCCGAAAACCCGCCGCGTGGCTCACCGCCATACCCACGGACAAGTCCGGGTCACTGCCGCCAGAGGTCATGCAAATCGCTTTTCACAGACGCCTCCGCTTGCCGTTTGCCTCTACCAGTCCCCTGCCTCTGGGCCCCAGCATCTGCGGCATTCTGGGGCCAACATGGGCATGGATGCCGAAGACGGTTAGACCCCTGCATGGGGCAACCAGGCCCTCGCCTGCACACGCAATGGCCTCCGTTCACGACGAGCGAAGCTGGTCGAACAAGCCTGGCTCTTCGCTCTTTGTTGTGATGCAACGCCGCTCGTTAGCTCCATCACTGGAGCAAGCACCTCTCACCCGCGAGCGGGTCATACTCCCGGCGTCGCCTTGCGAATGGCTAAGAAGCGTAACCGCGCAACACATCCGGAGTTGCAGCACGGCGGCGGCCAACGCTTCTTCGTCATTGCTGCGGAGGTTTTTGCTCGCCTCGAGCGCTGGCTGGCAGTGCCTGGAAAAAATGTGCCTTCGGGAGAAGTCGTTCTGTTTTTGTCGTAGTCTTGGACAGCTTGCTGCACGGTGGTTACCCCCGAGATCCGCTCCGGCATGAGCACGCCGTGACGACACAGCGATCGCAGGTGTTCGTCATGCAAACGGACCAATGCTGTCAGGGCATCGGCCGTGGCGACACAGCAGGCATAGCTGGTCTAGAGGATCATGAATTTGCACGGGATACTGCGAAAAGGCATTTCGATGCGGTGAGTGCCGGCTGCAAGTGGGAACAGGGACACGGAGCTGGGCACACCGAGCGGTCGGAAGGAGGTGCTCAAGGCAGAGGCAGCAGTGCTCAGCATCACGGGCTCCTGCGGAGGCGTGGACGTGGAGCTGAATGACAGTGGTAAGTGTGGTTCGCGCAGGCCACGGTCAGGTGTCGAGCGTGATGCACCTCCACCCTGTCTGAAGAAGAAAATAATAGAATCCAGGGGTGCACTGGCACCTAGACGTGTGTCAACATTTTAAGTTTTGTATTTGCCTTGTGTATCCATGTGTTGAATGGATGGGGGGGTGGCATATGTTGTGTTGACCGACCACTCTGCAATTGGGACAATGGATCGAAGGTGAAAGTACGTAGCCTTCCCAATCTTCCTTTCCAATCTTCGAAAATTTCACATTGTAATGGCTCTGCTCCTGACTGCTGGCAGGGTTGAAGGTCCAGCTTGTGCAAAGTTTCGGGCGTTTCGGGCGTCTATAGAGTAAAAACTTAGATGTACAGTGAACCTCTCCGCGAGGTTCCAACATCTTTTACAAACCATCAATATTCGCACTTGAGCACGTGACGCGGCGCAAGCGACGAGACACGTACCCCGAGCTGTCGCGCTCGCCGAGCTGCCACGTCGTTGTTTTCGCCTTCCCACCCCTTTTATTATTGGGGCAACCAAGGGGGTGGTTGCCTGGATCCCCACCTATTTACGGGTTACCGGGCCACTTATTGTATCCCGGTGGGGGTGAGGCGAAAAAAGGTGGCGGGCTAGCGGTTTCCACCTGTGCAGGTGGAGGTACACTAGATTGAGCTGCGCATTTGTGATTTCCCTTGCTCGAAAATGCACGATTGCAGAGCCTCTGCAGACTGAGACCTTCGTGGCCCGGAGTTCGGCAAAGGCACCGCACACCATGACTCCCTCCGCGCCAAAATTGCCGAGGAAAGCCCTCCAATGTCTCTTCTCCTCGTTCTTTGCGAAATGAGCCGGATGAGCTCTTTGGAACACAGCGCACGTCACGCCGTCTCCGTGGCAATCTCGAGGCCAGCTTTGGTTTGTTTCAGCTTCAGCTCCTTCTCCGCAATCTTCGGGGCACTAGAGGCCGCTGCGGATGCGGCTCGCTGCTTTCGCCGCGGGAAGCGGAGCCCGACAGGCTCATGCACACTGCTACCTTGGCTCGGCGGCGTCTCCATCTCGGGCTCGGGTTTCTTGCGCCTCTTCGGAGTGGACGGTGCAGCAGCTGCCTCACGGTTGATCTGAGCCTCCTGCCCTATTCGAGCACACCTCGCAGCGGTCTTGATGAGCAGTTGCGCATGCTGTAGGCCAAGGTCGTTAGCTGCGATCTCGCAAGGAAGGCATGCGTGGGCAGCAACATGCTGCAGTATGCAGCAGGCAGCTGATGATGGCGTAGAGCCTGGGTTTAAAATGTTGTTTGCTGCAAGGATGCACCGATGTCCTCAGGAGAAAGCATCGCCTTGCACTGCCCTGCAATGGGACCTGGGCGACTCAGGTACGTGACCATGCCTTCGGCATAATCGCAAATGACTTTCGTGTGCCCGGGACAGTCGAGGTCGGATGCACCCGAAGCCTCGAGAGGTCTGCATTCTGGACCATTTTTTATGAAGTTTTCTCGAAGTGCTGCAAGGCGATGTCCCACTCCCGTTCGCTGCTGCCGCGGCACAGGCTCGGGCCCGCGTCTGTGACAACGGCTACGACGCACCAGCATGGTCCGCTGTTAGTGGAGGAGCCGAGGCACCCCCTGCTCGCGGACGAGGTGAGGAGCCAGCCGACCCTCTCCGCGGCTGGCAACGGGTCGCTGCCCGAGCTAGCGATGAGCGCATCTGCGAGTTGCATCTTTGTTACCTTCCCCCTGCCATTCCGCGCACTGCTGCTGTCGCAAGCTGGGCCTTGTGCAGCCCGTGCCATCACCACCTTGCCGACGCGGTTCGATCTCACCCTCCCTAGTGCCTGCCCTTGCCACTCGCCAGTTGGTGATGAAAGGCACATCGAGGTCGTCGCCAACGGCCTCCCTCTCTGGCACGGCTCCCAGCTCGCACTCGACGCCACCATCGTCTCCCCGCTTACAAGGCGAGGCGAAGCACATCCACGAGCCGATGTGCAGCCGGGCTATGCAGTCGAGGCTGCCGGGCGTAAATGCCGGGACACCGGACACCTACCCCGAGCTCGCCCGGGCGAGCCGGTGCCGATTCGTTGTAGTTGGTGTCGAGGTTGGAGGCAGGTTCGGGGCAGAGGCTGCCGAGTTGCTCCGACTCCTGGCGCACCAGCGAGCCGAAGCCGTGCCTGCTTACCTCCGCACGACCGCCATTAACGCCTGGGTAGCGCGCTGGTCCGGGCTCTTTTGCAGTCGCCGCGCAGCGAGCGTACGCTGCTTCGCTGCTTGAACTCCCTCCTGCTGCCGAGCTCAGCGAGGGCACTGAGCCTGACCTGCATCAGGGACGCGGCAGCTCCCACAGCGAAGGTCCCTGAATCGATCGACCCGCCTTCGGCATTTGCGGACTTGCAGCAGCCGCAGCCGGGTTTGTGGAATCCTGTCGTGATCGAGCCCTGGGATACATCGACAGCTCACGGCCAGGGGAGACCGCAGGCCTGCAGGCTCTGGAGCACACTCGTTGACAGGGGTTCCAAGGCCTTCAGCACTTCCATGGGCAAAACACTTGCATCAGCTGCACTGCTTTGGGCCTCCAAGGGCCCTCGGACGACAGGTTGCAACATGAGCCGACCTCACTATCATGGCTCGCCGGAGCCGTCCCACCCGGCAGCACTGAGAAGTAGTGACACATATTTTTTTTGTACTGCACAAATCCGCTTTGTTCCTTACAACCGTCGCCTAAACTAAGCTTCGAAATGCCATCCCAATTGTAGCTCCCCAAGATCTCTTGTGAGGGTGGTCCGACCCCGACCCCCCTACTTACACAATATAATCAAATGAGTGCCCCACCTATTTCCCGACCCCCCCCCCACCCCACCAACGGGCAGCTTCAGGGCGCCGGCAAATGGCTGTTGTGTATTGCTTGGCCTTTTGGCGAGCAAGCAGTGAACAAACTTGGAACAAAACCGTGCAAGCTGAGGCTGCAGCGAGATCCCACTGGCCGGCGCTCCGGTCGGGTGAGGGTTATAAGGGGCTGCGCCGGCGGCTTAGCCAAAAAAGGCGCCGCGGTGAAGAATTGTGTGTCTGTAGGTGAGTATAACCAAGCACAGGCCGTACGAGCGCACGTTCCTCGGTTACGGAGGGCAGAGTCTGTGGAGCTACGGCAGAAGGCACCGGAGCACAGGCTGCAGGAAGAACGGGAAAGCAGAGACCTGAGCGGTAGAGGTAGTGCGCGCCTGCGAAACGCCACGTGAGGCTGAGGCCGGCGCAGGTGGCGACCCACCCAAACGCGGAAAGGGCAGGGGAGCGGGGGTGAGCCGAAGCGGTGCTCACGTCGAGGGGGTTCGCGACGGGTCCTTGCCTTTGGGCTCCAGCGGCACGTCGTGCACGCAGTCGAACTCCGGCGTCGTTGCCTCGGCGCCGGCGTTGGGGCGGGGCCGCCGCAGGCTAGGAGCTGGGGCAGCCGGCTTCGCTGTGGCCTCACACCAGCTCTCGGAAATCGGAGCCGCGGCGTCGCGGCACTGCCCTTGCAGTGCCCGCTACGACCGCATGCGTCCGCATGCAGTTCCCCAGCGCCCACTGCCGTAACAGTACGTGTACTCGGTTAAGCTAAGCCTAAAGCTAGACTCGCAGACCGGACGCGAAGTGGGCAAGAAAAGGTTTTCCCGAGGAGAAGGGAAAGAGGCCGAAGAGATGGGATATGTTCCCAATTCAGACAAAAGCACAAGCTACTCAGACACAAAACAACGCACACACGGTGTGAATGTTTTCCAAACGTGCGACATGCAGCGTTCGGGCTGAGAACAGACAGATCTTGTAATGTATGATCCCTACCGCATGTAGGGGTCATCACAAATGTGTCGGCATCATCTGCATCACGCAGGCTGGGAACCTTAGCCAAACTCACAAACCGTTCGTTGTCAAATGCATTGGTTGACGAGGTGGGGAACCCTGCAGTTCGGCAACCTCCAAGAAGGCGAACTGCGTTGCATGCTTCCTTTGACTGGAGGTCGTATTGCTTATTCAGCCTCGGAGTTTGGATGCGCTAGGTTCCATTCTCGATTGGATGTTTTCGTTGTTGCGAACCTGCTGGTTGGCAGGCAGCCAGCAGGTTTGTGTTGTGTCACGCATGCCTCGTTGAGCATCTCAGCGACCGAGGAAAAGTTGGAGCAGATGGAATGTGCAGGTCGGCTACATGGTGCGACCTGAAAGCTGCGTGCACGACATCCGATAATCGCAGGAGGGAGGGGGCCGCTTGCAGCCGTAAGATAAGGCCCGCCACCACCGGGGGTGCGGCGCAACGTCATGGCGTGGTGTTGCCTTCTCAGACTAGCACAATGCGAAGCTCAGCTGGGCTGTTCGGTCACATGCATAGCTTGTCGGGTGACAGCTTAGATTGATACGATGCCGTTGTAGCAATGTGTAGCCGTCGCGCTTAAGCTATCAGCCATATCGTAAGATCCATAATGGATTCCTTCCAGACACTGGATTGCTTCCAAACACTCGTACTTTTTACCTTTTTGACAATGTCTCTATGCGAAGCCATGGCAACCCTCGTAAGTTGATGCGATTGCACGGTCGTGCCAAGAAGCACCTTGGTTGTGCAGGCAAGAATGAACAACACTGGAATGGAATGTTCTCGGTCCAAAGCCATCTTCGCTTTGCAGCGATTGGTCATGTGGGATGTTGCAGGTGTTGTGCTCCTCATTCTCGTCGTCGGCGTTCGAACGCCGCTCAACATGACGGCAGGGCGGGCGCCGAAACTTGAGGTTTGGTTTACTCCTTCATATTTTTCCAGGATGATCATTGGAATCATGAGCGAGTTTGCTCTGCAGTTCATTGCAGGACGCATTCCGCATCATTCCACGTAGATTTGGAGAATGTCAGGTCTCTGAAGCCTTCTGGGTGTTGTCGGTGTTTTCACTATCAGAGATTCCATATGAGATTCTATGTCGGCGTGCATTGTACTTGTAACATGTTGCGCAGGCCATTGTGGAATCCATGCCACGCCTGACGCAGAAGGGCCCGCCTCTCCTGTCGCGGTTAGATTAACAGGGGATTCTCGTGTGCTTGCATACTCCTTCAAGAATTTACGTCTCGTTACATTCAAACGATGCGCCCAAGCCATCGCAGTGAGCCATGTCGATGCCGGATATGAATGCAGCAGGAAGCAGATCGCATCATGCATAAAGCTGCCTTCCAAACCCGGCAGTAGAACAGACATGTGAAATTCTGAGCTGCAGAGGTTTCTTCCTGGCAAGGCGGATATGTTCGAGTATCACTTTTATATTCTTGATGTGCGCGTCTTCAGTGTGATGTGTCCATGAAAGGTCTTGCGGATCGACGTGTTTGGCAATGTCCCTCGAGTTTCTTGGCCTGCCATGTGACCCAGACATCATCGAGCGGCGAATTCATCCATATGGTGATGTGGATTTAGGCACGGCCGCAAGAGTAACGCATGATAGTGAATTCCAGGTCGTGCACTGCACTTCCTTGCAGTGGTGGCCAGGCGAACTCCCTGCGGGATTAGCAAAATTCGCCCGGCATGTGGGCTTCGTTGCTCAGCACTACAACTTCGGGACGCTGGAGCAGCTCCAACAGTATCGTGCAATGGTTCCTCGGCTCTGCGCATGCATTAGGCCCCCTGAAGTTACACCCGTAGCATGATCACAAGAGTTGCAAGAGGTGCAATTTCTGGCTGCCTAGGGTTACGCTGTGATCGTGATGCTGAACTACAACGGTGGGACCGGCCACTTAGTCAACCTTCTGGGTTTCGATGCCGATGAGGAGGGGATCACTGGAGTTCGGAGCCGTGGATGTGAGAAGAAGCATGCGTGCCTACTTAGATATCGGCAGTTTCATGAGTTCATGCAGCCGGCGCCACTTCAGGATTCGCAATCCGTGGGGGTTTGACGAAACCATCCCGGTCGATCGTTTCTTGAATGAGTGGCGCCATTTGCGGCAAAGCAGAAGCTCCACTGACGCCCGCTCGCGCAAGAATAGATTTGGGTTTATCGACGAGCAAACCGTAGGTTCTGCATGTGGATCATCTATTCGCTTGAGCTTGGCTGGTCGTGTCCCCTGCGGGTGAAGTGTTACGTGTATGTACTCCTGGCCGACGTGTGCAGTCCCCACAAACACCAAGGTGGGATACATGTTGCCTGTTTTCGATGCCGGCTATGCAGTGGTGGCATCCAGTGGTAGTTTGTCCGCGACTCCGATTGTGGATTGGCTCCACTCGGCTCCCGTGGATGTTCTCATCGCATCTTTGACATTCGGCTGGTTGTGTGGTTTGCATCGTCAGTTTTTCAATTTGCGGCTGAGCTGCCTTCCATGGCAATCTGCACTTAGGAACGGCGTGGGGGGCAGCATAACGACAATGCGTCGTCATTGGCTCCCAGGTTTCAGCCAGTTCTTCGGCAATTTTCTTGGTGTTTTGGGTGGAGCGGGAGCCTACGCAGTCGGCGGCTCGAAGACAACAGGCAGAATTACACGCGTGGAGCCGTCTTCATCATCGCTTTGCTTGCATAATTAGTCATGTCTGCTGCTGTTATCACTTAGGCAACCTTATCGGTTTGAATATTCTCTTCGTGGGTGATGATTGGCTGCTTTCGAAAAAGAACAGCCTTGTTGGCCGCATGCTCGTCGCGGTGGGCTGGTCCTTCTCGGTGGCGGGCTGCCAGGTTGCAAGATGCAGCTTTTGAATTCACATCAACTTGCCACTGCTCTTTGGGCTTCGTTTGTGTCAAGGCGGTATTCGGTTTGTAATCAGGCTGGCCGAAAGCTTTCTCGGCTGGAAGCGATGCCGAGGTGGCCTCCTGGCTGCTGCTGTATGGCTTCTTCGGCAACCTATGATTTTTCTGGGTGAAAGGTGTGCAGGCCAGTGGAAACTTCGTGACGGTGCTCGAATTGCAGTCTGTCGGGCTTCCACACATACCTCAAGATAACTGCCACTGCCGAGCAAGGCCGCGATGCACTTTCCGAAGCCATAATCGGTGCGAGTTCGCAGAGTCTGCGCAGTGCACTGGCCCGGGCGGGAGCAGAGCAGCTCGCGTGCCAGGACCGACTGCGTTTGCCCGTGTGCCCGTGTAGTGGCATGGCGGACTGCTTTTTTTTTTGCTGCTTTTGTTTGGCGGATGCATTGCTTGGCTGTGGTGTGAGACATCACATGGTTCATGCAAGTAAATATTCTATCCTTAAAAGTGACGATGCCCAGATTCACCTGCTCCGAAGTGGCCATGGGGACGCAGAGTGGCGTGCCGCTAGTCGTTTGCTGGAGCCGGGTGCTTACATTTGCCAAAAAAACGTACGGTAATGTGCCGGGATGCGTATGATAATCAGTGTTCAATGATGAGGTTGGCACCCGGCAGCCCCGACAGACTGGAGTCCAGTCGTGAGGGAGCGCGTGTGGACGGCTGGCGCGCGGAAAATGGCAGCAACCTTTCGCAAGGAATGCGAGGAGAAAGAGTTGAAAGCCAGCACCAACTGGCTGAATGTAGTGGAAGAAGAGGATGCCTACACGGCTCGCAGACAGAAGCGGCAAGCGGTTGTTTTGTTTGTTAGCTGTGTGTGTGTGTGTGTGTATGTGCTGTGCGTGATTTTCCCGCCAAGCCCCATATTCACCTCAGGTAGCGAAGTCGTGTTGCAAGTTCTGTCAGAATTTCGTTCGTGTGATCTCAACTGGCAACAATGAATCAAGTCGCAGTTCAGGAAGTTCCACATGCGCTTGTGTAGTGGTTTAGGGCGGAGTGCACGCCGTCCCTTGCAATCAGCGAGAGGGTTTGCAGAGAGGTGGGATGCAGAAAAGGTTCGAGAGCTGACATGGAAAGAGAGAGGTCGGAGACACCGCCGGAACAACATCGGTGTGCAACTGTGTACTTGGTCATTTGCCCGGCCCCTGAGGCTTTCGCCAGTTGGCGTGAGATCAATCGTGGGCGTATAGGCGCTTTTGCATCATTGCCGCGTGACTATCGCAGAACCTCTACTTAAGTTGCTTGAAGTTGCTCCGGCCTCTCGTCGGGAGGTCAGGAAGTGGAAGGTTGGCCTTGCTCCGCCGCTGCTAAGCGCCAGAGTGGCCATCCCAAGGCTCCGACAAAAGATGGGCCTCGAGGCCAATGCTAAACAACCCTCGTCTCTTTTGCTTTCCTTTTGACAGGTGCCCAACCAAGAGCTGCGGAAGGCTTGCCCTACTGTGTCGCCAGTTGTGACGACCTCCGAGCATGTCAGACAGGTGCTGGGCAAGAGCGGCATCGGTTCTTCCAGTCCTTGCCTGAGACCTGATTTTCAGCCGAAGCCTGTGCTTGCACGGGTTTCCTGTAGTGCGGCTGATCTCAAAACTTTAATATGCCGCCAGTTGTGAGCCATGAGTGGTTGTCAAGGACATTATGTTTTCACTTTGCGCCTGCCACCGGAGATGTTCTGAGGTTTCTCTGGAGGCAGATGCGAGGCCGTCCAACTTTCTGCCTTGACCCTTCCATGGCTTGCATGCTCTGCACAGCACAGGACTCGCCGGAGGGAGATCTCGAGTGGCGATTGGCGAGGCTCCGTAACGACCTGTGATGGCTGCGGTGTGTTTGCGAGTTTGGGGCCTTGATCCTCACAATATTTTTGTGGCTCAAGTCTCAAGTCAAGCCGTGCAGTTATAGCATTCAGTCCTAGCTGTCCTTGCCGGCGGCCAAGACAAGGTGATAAGGTACTGGAAGGAGAGGTTTAGCGGCTTAGTGTGGTCGTTCTCCAGGCTGTACAATGTAAAGCAGCACAACAAGACGGGCCAGTTTTCCACATGTGTGTGACCATGTGTGCGTGTGGTGCCGGTTGTATTGTTGCATCGGCCCTCCTGATTATTGCTGTGCTGCTCGTTTGCACGTTGGACAGATCAGTACTCGGTGTTCACCACCTGACTCTACCCGCAAGCCGGTCTGCACAAGTTACCCCGGTGCCAGTACGAAGTCGTTCTGTGCTGTCCTCCGAGGTTATATGGGTGCCTTCTGGTTCCGGAGATTTCCCGGGAGTTTCACAAAGCATCAATGACACATTTTACGGGAACCGGTATATTCATATCTGGTCTGATCTCAACAGGTGCGGTTGTCCGAAGCACACAACTGTCGCGAAATGGCCGCTTTTCGGGACCTGGCTTTTGCTTTGAGTCGCGATTTTGTTGAGGCCGCCACTTCACGTATTGTCTGGGCGACTACTTGGGCTGCGTCAAAGATGAGATTGCGACAGAGCTCATTGAGACATTTACTTGGGAGACCGGCATCGGACTGGCGGCAGTCTTTGCCCCCAGCATGGCCCTCCATGGGGACAGTGCTCCGGATTGTGATAGAAACACAAGAATGCTTCTTGTGACGATGTCTTAGTGTATTTGCATCAGGAATATACCTTGAGTCAACCTGTGCTAAGAAGTGGGCACGGTGCAGTTTTCGCATGCTGCCTACAAGAGCTGGGCCCACGATCCGGCAGCTGGCCGACCCGCAGACATGATGGTGGGATCGAACAAGACGTCGCTGCCACCAGGAGCGCGTGAGTTGAGATCTGTGGGTCGCAGCTGAGAGGCGAAAAGCCAGACGTACAGTAGCGGACTCAGTAGCGAGCGCAGACGGCGAAGACGTGAGGAGTTCTTCCGGACCTCTCTCCAGACATTCTGCTGAACTTCGACACAGGCTCTGCCGAACACACGGCTCGTCGGAAGCTCCTGGCGGATGGGTCGCTCGGTCGCTTCGCGAATATTTGTGCATTTCGCTCGGCCATAGTGATGCCTTGTTTGTAACTTAGGCTTCCAGGCCTCGGGCAGCAGTTCCAACTGAACTTTCAAGTTCCCCCGGGCACATCAGTGGACGCAACCAGCAAGCGTGCGGTCTTCGACACGGTGGGCTTCAATTTGTGCCCTGGCTTTGGAAGCTACTAGTAGCTCGGATCAGCTTTGGCTTGTTTTTGTCACGAGTCGAGGTTCCGAGCATTATTTGGTGTCGATGTTGGCGCAGAGCTTGAAATCATGTTTGAATATGAGACTTGTATGCATCAGTGGAGCTGCACCCTGGAAGCTTTGTAGAGCCATTATAGTGTAACGGGTCGGACTGTTCTAACGATGTGTATCGCTTGCTTTCTGGAAACTTGTAACTTGCAACATCTGGTCGAGACGGTCAACTTTAACATGGCTCCCGAGCCGCGACAACCGGTCGTACCATCTCCACAGGACCACACCGCACTTCCTGCTGCCCTCATGTGTAAATTTCAACATCCTCACTTGCAGAATATGCGGAAGGCCAGCATACTCCGCAGACCTGCTGGGTTCGCGAGGTCGCTAGGTCCGAGGATCCCGGGGTCGGATCGTTGAGGGGCAAGGACATTTCATGCGTCATGTGTGAATAGATTTGAGCCGCGAGACAAGCAGAGCACTCCGCAGAATCTCACCACAACCACACCCCCCAACGGACCGGAAAAAGCACACATGTGAAAGCTGTGATGTTTCGCTAATTCACAAGGATGGCACTTTCACACCTGCAGTGCTGGGGGCACCTGTCTTAGCTTTCCAAGGCAGGCATGGATTTCCAATAAAGCCTAGAGACAGACATGGCCCGAGACCGAGATGAGATGTCAAAGCAGTGTTGCCAGGGCGCAGGCTGTCTGAGATCCGTTCCGCCATCATGAAGAAGGTGGAGGCTGGAGAAATAGCCAAGAGCTTCATCGCCTTGGCAACAGAAAGGGGTATGCTGCCTGCCTGCATTCTCGGAAACGGCCCAATCTCCTGGTTTGGGCCACTGCTCAATCTGCTCCGAGGTCAGGCAAGCAGCGCTTGGACGAGATGGTGTGGATCGCCCTTTTTGCTGGATACGGGGGAACCGGCAATCTGGCATACGAAACCTTGCGGCTGATCTTGAAGGACATGCGGGACATGCCACCGACGTCACCCTTGTGTTCTGCGCTGTCTGCAGACTTCTGATCATCAGGATCCTGGCCTTTATGTTCCCATGTTTCAACGAGATGCTGATGCATTTATGCTTTTCGTCTGCAGGCACGAACTCGGGGTCTTGGGGTCTGCCTCGGTTCTCGATCTTGCACGCGATTCCGAGGTTGGAGGCGGCTCGCATCAAGCCGCCTGTCGGGGGAATGAATCCCTCTCAATTCCGCAAGTCTACACAAATCCGTTTCAGTTCCATCCGCAAGACCTGGTCCGCCCGTGAAGGCCTGTGCAGAAAGCATCTGCTGCGCTTGTGCTGTGTCGCCTGTCCGGAGGTTCACTACTACGTGTTAAAGACCTGATCAGGCGAGCTCACGATGCTGCTGAGCAGTGGCGCGAACCACGATCCTTCAGTGTTCCAGGATGCTGACAAGTTCATTCCAGGTCGTCAGAATGCAACGTGCCCAGCACGTTATGCAAATTCAAACTATGTATTCGATTGTGGCATCTTGAACTCTTTGGCATGCCAAGATCTAAGGCAGAGAGGCTCCTGTCGTGGAATAACGACACGTGCCTCAAGTTGAGAGCTCTCGGTAAAAGTACGCATGGTTCGAACGTCACTGAGTGTTTCCATGCCAGTCTGGAGTTCGAGGAGTGGGGTGCCTTCAAGACGTGTGAAACAGTCGCAGGCTGGCAAGTTGCAGCGTGACGATGTCACAATAGGGCCGGGCCGCTAGGGATTCCAGGCCCTCGGCAGACGTCCTGTCTAGCACAGGATGCCCGGCAGCACCTCGCGGCTGTCCTGGAACTTTCCTTTCCATGAAGCTTGCCCGGGAGACGGCCGGGCTTCTTTGCAGCATTGTGCCATGCCGCGGGCTGTGACATCCTTGAACAGGTCGCAGCCTTCGTCAAGACACTGGCTACGAAGCCAATTCCTGGGTCGGCAGAGCTTTGAAATTCTGGACCGAGGTTGTTTAGTTTTCGCTTACCCTGCATGATTCAGTGAATGCTTGACCGTTGACCGTTTGGTCTATGTTGCGACGTCGGGCAAGAGCATGATCGATTCTGACATGCTGGGGCCGTCTCATCCCTGAAGCGTGAGATGAGCAACCGAACATGTCACTGTACAAAGGAACACTCCAGACCTTCCGCCTGCAAGGTTGCCAACAAGGTTTTTGCTAATCTGAAAGCTCTTGCAGTCTGCCTGTATGGGATTATCCGAGACATTGCTCAGTCATGTGCAGAGACTCCTGGCACTGTCCGGAGGGCGCGTGGGCTGTTGCGAGCGGCTCTGGTGCGAGAGGATGCGATGTTTGCTGACGAGGCGTTGATCTGGTTTCAGCAATGCGTGCGACATGTTCAGGGTGCCGTGGAAAACGCTTCGAACGCTCTATACTCAATGGCACCGAGAAATGGTTGACGTGCGGTCCCATAAGCCGAGCCCTTGTGAGCACTCCAACACCATCTTGCTGGGTTGGCATGGCTGGGTGTTGGCCTCCACCGCATTCCATTTGCGCTGCTAGACGTCAAACCTCCTGGCTGGGAAGCACACGGGCCAAGAAGCCTGCGAGCGCCGGTGAGGCTCTTGACGTGTAAGTGGAAGAAGCTGCTTGCTTGAAACCACCTTCGGGCATTTAGAGGGTCTTTCGAAACATCGGTCGAGATGTGCCTTCGGCCGAACCCGCGACGGGTCATGATAAGAGCGGCGCAAAGACTTTTCTTGCGCCTGGCCCCGGTGCCGCTTCTCATCGGTGCAGGCACTGGGTGTGCTGGGCCGGCTTCAGCATCATCGCGGGCTGACACTCTCCGAGGCACGAAACTGCCATCCGAAGCACATGTGCTCCAGTCTTGTATTTTTACATCAGCATTCTGTAGCCACACTGCCTGGGCCAGCCTCCTGCAAGCGCTGCCTCCACGTGTCTTTGTCCTGGAGAGGTGGAGCTTGATAGCTTTGCCAAGCCAGTGCTGCAGCGCGCGCTGCGCTGGTCTTGTCCTTCCGACGATGAGGCTGCCGAGGTGCGGCAGTCTGAAACTTGGGTGAACGGGCAAGAGTCCCTGAGAAGCTTTGCAGGAGCTGGTGTCACAAAGGACCGATCATTCTTCCGCTTGATTGGGGCGGGAGACATGTTGGGATGCAGGAGGTCTTCAGCGGGATGTGGTACGTCTCCGGACAGATCTCCTTTGCTGGGTCCTCGAGGAGTTTGAAACAGCCACTAAATTTTCTGGCTCCACACCTCACTGCTTGCATGGGAACAGGTCCCGACTCGCAACCGAACTCATCCCGAAGTGGCTGGAGGAGTGATGTTTCTTCACGTTGGTTCTTGCGAGAGCAAGTGAGTGGCAGATTTCCGAGGAGGCGCAGCGGAGCGAGCCGCGAGCAGATAGGCCTTCTGGGAGGGCTCCAACTGTGCAGCTTTGATCGGCGATTGCGGGAGCTTTTGTCGGAGGCTGAAGCAAGCCGCCGAATGCTGGGCCTCGCTGGATCAGGCGACCATGTTCCTCTCGTTCGACCCTTCCTCACAATTTCGCATGGAGCTTTCCACGTACTGCTGTGCATCCAGAGTTTGACTTTGGCTTTGAGCACGTGCTCCGGTACCTGGCATTGGCGTTGCCAGGGCCCCTCAGTGGATGTCGAGGGCACCGTGCTGCTGCTCTCCGCTGTTTGCCGGCATTTATACTAGATCCGGAGGGGACATGTTCATAACATGTTCTGCTTCACACTGCAGCAAGGTCTGCATGGAGGTTTGTGACCGGCAGTGCCTTCGACGGAGCTTGGACCTGCTTCAGGATGCAGGCGCCGAATCCTGAGATCACGAGCAGTGCCCGAGATGCATTGCAAAGAGTTGCAAGCGGCGTCCGAGGTGGATCTTCGCCTTGCCTTGCAGCCGGCGTTTCTTCGCCGACTGGAGGTGCTCTGCTGCATGAACTGAAACGCAAGAATGCAGAGGTTACGACTGCACCAGCGCAGAGGGAGTCGCAAGTAGCTGCCAGTCACAAGACGGCCGAGGAGCTGGGACTTTTTCAGCAAAGCCTGCCGAATCGCACCTTGGCTGCATCCGTTTTCTCTCGCTCGCTGCCTTCCTGTTTTCGGTCGACTCAAATGGATCTCCCTAGGAATGGCAGATCTAGTTCAGGAGGCTGCCGGCCTTGCCACGCATGGTGAGGCGCTTTCATCGGGGCCTTTTCCTTGCGTTGCAACGCTTGGGGTCAGGCTGGCGGAGTTTTCTTTCGTCGGCATGGAGCTTTGCTGATAGACCGGGGAGAAGGCCAGAGGATTTGTTTTGCTTGCTGGACCCTGGACCTCAGCCAGGCGCTAGGCTTGCCTTGTTTCCTGCTGCTGGTTGTTGGCTCGTAGGGGTCTGAGGGAGCAGCGCGTTCCTTGAGAGATGTCGAGCCACATACGGCTGGTGCACCGAGCGCATGAAGGCACTTTGGACTTGTCGAGACTCCCTGAGTGCTGGTGGCTTGGCAAAGCTTCCGCTTTCTGCCAGGGATCAAGCGACCTGTGCATCATACATGACCCCTACTTCGAGCAGACAGGCTACCCACGGTCTGATGCCCAATCAAGAGGGCTCTCTGCCGGTTGCAACGGTGGCCGTTCTTGTCCAATGCAGCTGAAGGCGGCTTCGTGAAGAAACTGCCTGTATAGTGGTTTCATCTTCGTGTCGTTTTGCTTATGGTTACGAACATGGACTCTCAACTCCTCCGGCACACATATGAACTGGGTGGCCTTGAGCTCCAGGCACCAGGCACTTCAGGAAAGAACTCGACGGCAGTGCTGGCTAGATGGAGCTGGTGGATAGTCGCAACTTGATTCGTTGAAAAGTGCTGTGATTCGTTCGATGGGGCGATCTCGCAGTCGATCCCGTGCAAACACGCTTAGCAAAGTTCGGCAATGTTTCATTTTGCGTGGCAATAGTCAGCTGCTCACCTTTGTGTGGTCATGTGGGTCATGTTGTTGGTTTGCTCATCCCTCTCTCGGCTTTCTGCGATATTTCTTTGCTTGTTCTTTTTTTCGCATCGCTCCAACTTAAACGAAGGCTTGTCTGTAAGTGCTCGACTTGCAGCCCGAATTGACTTCCAACGTACAACCCGAGGTGTGCCTGCCTGCGCAACTTTGCAGGTGCGCGAGACAGAGTCACTTAAGAGACTCTACCCAGATTTTTTGCCTTCCGCTACTCCTTGCCTTCAAGTCCGCTCGTCGGACATGTCGTCTTCGATGTTGCTTTTCTTGCTCGCTCTATCAACCTGAGTGTCCATTCAGAGTCTTAGTCGGGCCTGCCGTCCTCAAACCTATGCCATGTTATGCACCCTAGGTGGAAAAAATGCCCAGTCGTAGCAGCGGGTGATCTGCTGTAGAGGAACGCGTGGGGCTGATGCAAGCTGAGGTGGGTCGTAAGCGCGTGGCAGAACTTGGGTGGTCGGAGGCTCTGGGTACATGGGAAACTGTGCGTGTGACTGGGTTGCCATTGGTGCGATAGGATCGGTCGGATCTCCGAAACATGATTATTTGGCAGGACGCAAAAGGATCGTCTGGCCATCTGCCCACTTCTAGGCGCCGGCAACGGGCTTTCTGTCGGCGTGTGGTTGCATGCAATGCCACGCGACAGACGGCGATGATTCGGCATTCTTTGGCATCTGGGATGGAACGGTGGATGACTTCGCCGCTGACCAGGCTAGCTTCCTTTGAATTCAATACACCGTATGTAACAGGTGTGGCTGTGTGGAAAGATGTCATCTTAGAGTTTAGTGCGCTGTATTGCGCTGTCATTGAAACTCCTTGTGCTTTCTTTTGCTGAAACGGTGCTTCACCACAGATACGCTTGTGCACTGCGGACTTGCAGGTGCAACATTTGTTGTTGCCCAGCATTCTGCGGACGGCTGGATGGGCCTCGTACCAGGACAGGCACTCGCAAAATGGGAGGAGGCTGCAGTGATGTCGTCGGCAGGAACTACGCCGAGGGTGCACCTCAACGGACTCGTCCTTGTCGGCTCAGATGGAGTTCTTGCAGGCAGGGCATGTCAGACCGGTCGAGGTTGTGCGATCGACCTGCCATCAACGGACGGCAGGCCAGTCTCAAGGAAGCCGTCCTCAGTGCGGACGAGGAGACAATTGGCGCCTGAGACAGCCAATTGTCATGCATGGCGGCATCGACTGAAGTCATTCCATTCGGCCAGGACGTCGTTCAGAAATGTCGGGACGCGCAGCCGCTGTGATGATTTGTGATCATTTTGGCCTAGTAGTCTTTGCAGCCAAGCATATGCAAGCTTGTCTTAATGACCTGCAAAGCCCGGTTTTGTGACATTGTGTTCCTCGAGGAATCACTACTCCAGCTGCACTGGCGTAATGGCATTGGTTGCTGGCGGAGTACTTACAGCCTCGGCCTTGTTGTTTGTTTTTTGTTGGTTAGTCCGCTTCTTCCCATTTTCCTTCCTACCAGTGAAGTGTACTGCCTGCTGGAGGTTGCCCACCTTGGCGATTCTCATGCTGTGGTCGGCTTTGTGGAGGAGCCTCGCAAGCCGCTGAATGCCAACTCCTTCGCAGCTGGACTGCCTGATCCTTTCAAACTGAGCGTCATCTCTGTGATCTTCAGCCCGGCAAGCGTGCCAAAGTGGGGACTTGCTCCCAGAATTTCTTTTGGTACATGTGGTGTCGACAGAGCTGCACCTGGCATTGCCGGGGCCGAGCAACAAACAGCAAGGAAACATACAGTGCAAGAGCGTGGATGAATAACTCAAGTGTGCAGTGTGCAGGATGACAGGACGGCGGAAGGTAACAGTCATTGACAAGGCACCAGAGTCTTTTCGATAAGTCTTCCTCTAAGACTTTTCACCAGAGTCATAGCTTCGTTATGTACAAGTACAGAGTTGTCACACGCAACCTATCCTACGTAGCATAAGGCAGGCCTCAAGGATGCTTCCTCCTGCCCTCAACGCTGCTCTCCACACAGCCATGCCGCGCGAGGAGGGCGACTGGCATGCTGCTGCCCTGACCGTTGCCCACAAGTGCGAGCGGCTTCGTTGAGGGATTGCATGAAAGATGGCAGCTTGCTTCGCCTTGTAGGGAGGGGACAGATGCCAGGCCAAACACGCCGAGCGAGCGACAAAGGATTGAGGTCTGCAGTGGGAGCTTGATTCAGGCACTCACGGTCTCATGCATGGTTGCTGGCCAGGATTCTGGGGGAGTCGTACAGTGCGTAGACGACCGGCGCGGCACGCCGCTTGACCTCAGAAGGCATAAGCTTGTCCATCATCCCATCCCGTGAATTCGCGGGTGGACAAATGCCTGCAACCGCCTTTAGGTTTAAGTGCTTAAGTCAAGTCAGTGTGCATACATCATCCATGACGAATTTTTTTGTGTGTTCCTAAGGCTCGTGCGCGCTTTTCTATGTGGTGGCGATTTTGGCGAGAGGAAGGTCAGATGCAGCTACGCTGGCACACATTGTAAAGTCAACCGTGTGTTTGTTCTTCCAGTATGGCCGCTTAGCCGAGATGCCTAAAATGCCGTAGAGGCTCGTGGAGATAATCCCCGGCAGCTCGCCTACTCGCGAGCCTTTGGCGGGAAGGAGAGCCGAAATTCGTGGCAGCCTCGGTTCCCTGTCCTGTTGGAAGAGTTACGGCCCGCTGCAGGATCTAAAGCCGTATGGCTTGTCCAACCAACCCGACGTCCGCCAAGTCGTCTTGAATGAAAAACACAAGGCAGAAACATGCAATCCTGGATGGGCATGCAATCACCTGGATCCTGGATGGAGCAGGTTCTCATCATGGCATCGGATGGTCTGTGGGATGTTTGCTCCGAGGCCGGCCGTGATTCCGAGCTACCTCTCTCCTTTTCACGCCTTGGCCAACAGTGGTTGCTGTCACGAAAGCTAGCTCTTCAGAGCTATGCGGCCGTTGTCGATTAGTTTTGGGTGAAAACCAAGGGTCACTGTCTTAAAAGGTTTTTTTCGGTGAATTTCGGTTGCAGGCAGGGGGTTCCCCCTTTTTGCTCGATTCAGGGGGTCCCCTGCCCCTGGCAGTTAAAGGTTCGAGGCCCGATTTCTTGGAGGGGGGAGGGGGGCCCCCTCCCCCACCCCCTCGAAGGGGGGCGATGCATTAGCGCCCACAGGCAGCTCTGCTCGAAGTATACTTTCTGTTCCTGGTCCTAGGTGTGAATGTGCACATGGCCACGTCTTGTCAGGAAGTGAGACGAGGGGTCATATGGGCACGGGAATTACATGACGCATTAATTGCCTTCCCGCCCGAACTCACGTATGTAGCAGTTTCCCGATTGCTCACCCGCCTACGACGTATGCGAGCGATCCTTCCCATTTTGAACTCCACTTGCATTCTCTGGCCATTTTGGTGTGCTATTTGGGATGTTTGCATTGCTATTCTGGTGGCACATGAGGAAGATCGCCCGGATACGTTGTCTATCAACGATAATAACATGTTATACCGGTGGGCTGAGAACACTGCAAGACGGATTTACATGAGTCTTGATGATTACAGTGGTATCTACTCGGGATGGAATCTACCCCTATCTTGGCCTAGTGGTGAAGTCCGTCCACTCTGCGAACGCATTTCTTTTGTCCCCAAACCTCTCCCTTCCCTTGAAGAGCACTATAGGCTCCTACACGCAGTACCACCAAGGCTCATGACAAGACAAGCAAGCTTCAACACTACACTTTAGTATCATGGCACTACCGCCCTCTGTGTTCCGAGAACGCTTGCTGTCGGAGCTGCGGTCGATGCCACCGGGAGTATCACGGGTAGCTGTGGATTCATTGTTTAGTCTTATTGCCCGTAATCGTCACACTTATCCTTTAGGTGGTTACTCTTTGCTGCATGATGTATTGATGGATGCTTCACCTTTCTGGCTGAACCCACAGAGCGATCCCGTGTCTCCCCGGCACTGTTTACCACTCAAACTCTAGGTCGGTTGCTTCCCAAACCTCGTTATCCTTTGAGCTTGGTTCCAGGGAGCGAGAGCTCTCAAGCCACCATGGAAGCCCCAGCTGATTCGGGGACTAGCTCGGTAGAACAGATGAGGCGCTCTATCCTAGAGAGCTTTGACCGAGTTAGTGTAAAACACAAGGCTTCAGAAGACGGTGGTCAGGTTCTTCACCTGGGTTTGAATCCTAGGGACTTATCTAGGCTTACCTCGGCGACAGCCCCGTGCATGCACCTTCTTAGCCTGGTCACCGCCTTCCTTCATAACATAGCCCCAAATCATAAGTATAGCTCAGTGATAATTCGTGACAGTGCCGGCAAGGACATTCACAAGGACCTTAGGAACTCTCATTATCCTCAGGGAATTGTCCGACTATCTCCTTTTGAAAACGGCGGCCTCTGGGTTGAATCCCCCACTGGCTTTAGTATTAAATCGTATATGGGGGTCAACATTGCTGGCACAGTCTGCGATATCCCTGGGGACCGACTCCTTATGTTTAGCGGTAAACGTCTCCTCCACTGCACTGAGCCCTGGCTTGGGCGCCGGGTAGTCCTTGTTGCTTATACCCTCATGGGCACCATGTCGATCCCCAGGGAAATAGAAGAGAGACTGCAAGCTATAGGAATTCAGACACCAACCAGCAGCGAAATTGAATATTTCTTTCAACATCCTGTTGGGCCTGGTCAACCCACTCAGCGTAAACTCTCTTTTCGCAAGCGGACCGGTGTCTGGCAAGCTGGACGTCTCAACCTGTTGCCTCATGAACCGTCAATAGAGATAGACAGTCAAGAAATGGGTGATGTTGTTCAACTGCTTCCTCAATTTGGTGATTGTGTCTCTTCGGTTCCTCCCCATGAGACGGTTCATGACAGCGACTCGGCGGAGACCCTCATGCTTCCTAGGCTAGCGAGAGATGGTGTGTAAGGCACCCGTACATAGACTAAACCACAGCATAGATGTTCCCGAACAGACTCATTGTTGTATAGACTCATGGTAGCTCCATGCCTTCTAGTCCAAACCACTAACCCACGCCCGCGCGCCATGGCCTGCGAGTGTCCACTGCGCTCTAGGCCTACGTCTGCATGCTGCATGGAGGAGTATGCTCCCAACGATGGCAGAAACATGTTGTGTTCAGCTGTGGGCTATGGTGATGGCGTGCCCTAGAACTCACCTTGACTGCACCAGTGGAAAGCATTGCTCTGATGCGGGCAGTATGCTGTGCATGGATCGTGGCATACTGTTACAGGGGAGAAACTCTGTCGGACGATGACTGGAATGAGCTGCATGACGCTGGGTATGTGGTTGAGTGCTTGCACTTTTGACAGACAAGCAACTGGCAGCGCTGAATACAGGTTGGGGCACTTGCATGTGCATGATTTACTGCATGAGTTGCATGTGGAGAATTCAGCCGAGCCAGCCTGGGCAGTTTGCCTTGCGAGAGTCTGCTATGCGCAACACACTCGAACACAGAATGGTGTTGGGCAATGGAGCACCTGATTGAGCACATATACTTTGCATGTTGCTCGCCGCCTGAAATTTTGCTGCAACTGGTCCCTGTGGAGTATATTGTGGCTGCACGAATTCGTAATTCGCTTGCATGCTCTGCAAGTGCATGGTACATGTATAGTCCACGCAAGTTCATGCCTCTCCATCGCCGTGTCGCCACGCTGTTTCACCCCGCCAGTAATGTGTTGTTGTTTGGGAATGCTAACTAGTGTATTCCGCTGTGATTGGTAATTGCCGATCCCCGGGACTCTTCATTCAGGATGAGTCTCTCTAGTGCAGATGTCTAGGCCCTTGCAGTTATAGTGTCTTGGACGTGTAAGGGCCTAGGCTGAGGAAGGGTCACTTCGCACAGTTACTTCATCTGTTCTCAAGCTGTGATAGTTTCTGATGCTCCCTCTTAGAGATGTCTCACCTTGTACGACTCCGAACCACATGCCTCGCCTGGATTTGTCCGAGTGTGAGCGCCGAAGGCCCCCCTCCCCCCAGGCCTTGCCTGCAAGCATAGTGTGCAGAGTTTGATGTTGTTGGTACTTGGGGAAGCTTGTAGGTCTTGAATGTGAAAAGTACCGTTGATGTGTTCTGCAAGCACGTTTTGTTCATGAGGGTAGAGATGGTGCTGCGTTGAAACGAACCTCTCGGCTGCTTCTAGCTTTCGCGGCCCCGCTCTCAAGTTTGACCTCGATCTTTGTTCGCGAAGGACAAGGCGGTGTACTTGGCCATGGATGCCGCTCCCTCAGGAGCTGTGGCCACAGGATGTTGCTGCTTGATCTCTGTGTTGAAGGCAGCGGAGCGAGATCTGGATGCAGCTCAAGTGCCCTTGTAACCTTGTAGAACTCGTAGCAGCTGGGGTTTCAGATGAAACGCTAGCCCGCAGTGGAGGGCTCAATCTGGCTAGAGGCACCAAAATGATAGGCCCTAATGGACATCTGTGGACCGTATCTGCTTTCATTCCTGTGATAGGTGCTGGTAGAGTTCGCGCTCACAGAGAACCGCATCAACAGAACAAAGGCTGACAACATCACCGTGATCGCAGCTGCTTGGTTATTTCTTCCCCTGTCCAGGTGTCATGCTTCAGGCCTCGATAAGTTCACAAAAAGACCGTCGGGTTCAGACGAAAGTCGTGTGCTTCCCCATGTGGTACTGCAAGAACTCCAGAGTTGAACAAAAGGTCGAGCCGGTTGTTGTGATCATCTGAGGTTTTCTTTAAATGACGCATTGGGCAGCAGCTCGGGCCTACTTGGATGATGAATGGGATCATGTTCACGAAAATATGACAGTGTTGTGTGTTTCAGATGTGTGGACCTATCGCTTCCATGAGTCCTGGACAAAGACTGCACTTGTGCAGAAAGCCAGGGCACAACGTGAATTCAATGAAGTTTGCTTCTATGCAAGCGCTGCCAGCTGGCTTGCTTGAAGTCAAGCCTGTATGGCAAGCATATCCGTTTGTATACGTGGTGCCGTCAGGGCTGCTCGGCTAGAACGAGGCATGCGAACAGGGGAGTGCTAATTACTCGCACAGCCCGACTTGGACGGAGCAGTTGCCGCAAGGACAAGGAACGAAAATGCACGTCGGCTGCTTTTCTAAGGAAGGCAATGACGGGAAGGGGTGCCATCCTGGCATTCTTCTGCGAGGTGAGGCTCAAATCCTTGCGCGGGGATTCAATCACTTCGCCCTGCCACTTGGACCTCGTGGTCCTGATCCAGAGCGCCAGCCTTACGAAGCTCATGGAGAGAGACAGAGAGAAAGAGAAAGAAACAGCGAGAGAGAGAGCGGCTGCGAAGTGGGAGAAAAAGTTGAGGGGTAGGGAGTGAAGAAGACCCAAAGCCTCTTCTCTCATAAACAAGAGAGAGAATGGGGGTGCCTAGGCACGGGTCCGTCAACTCGGACCTCGCCCCATCCCCCATCGGAAGGAAGGAAGAGCAAGAAAGAGCGGGGCAGAAAGGCCTAAAGCCTGACACACGTCTCTAAAGTTCGCCCCTACACCCTGCGAAGGAGAGGGAAAGCAAGAAGAGGGGCCGCATGGCCCAAGCTGCAAGGTCGCAGACTCACAGCCGTTAGGCCTGCAGTGCAGTCAAGGTTTGGTGGACGATGCCGGACCTTCGACAGTTTCGAACAGGCCCAATCCCATGCTGTGGCAAGTTGCATGGCCATCCGAAAGGTTTCGTGCCACTGAAACATAGGGCTCGCAGTCTAGGCTTGCTGGTGCTTTGTGCCGACCTGCTGTCCGGCAATGTTCAGAGAAAACCCTTGTCTCCGTTTTGATGGTCCCCCCTCGAAACTCTGACCGCTGCTTTGGACATCCGGGCATTTCTCGCAGGCCCGATCCGCGGGACTTTCGTGGAAGCGCAGCAAGCCCCGCACCGCACAGCGCCACGCTGAGGCGCTCAACGGGGGGGGGGAGCAGAAGTGAACTCAAGCAGAGAAGCTTAGAAGCTCGCCTGCAGGGGATCCAAAGCGCGTCTGACAGGTTCACTGCCTCTTGCAGGTGCCTGAGCTCCTGTCCTTGTCATCCTTGCAGGCCAGGGCCAGGGTCACCGCCAGACCACCAGATCACGTTCGGGTGCCCGGGGGCTTGAGAACCTGGCAACAGGCCGAGATGCTCGTGGTGGAACTGGCTGACATCGGCCCCGGCTTCAACTGGGCTGAGCCTTGCTCCAGAGGATGCATGCAGCTGCTGATGAAGTATGGCATTCAGACAGCACTGGCCTCAGGACTGAAAACCACAGCTTTCAGGAATTTTGCCGGCATTGAGGCCACCTGGACCGATGGAAAGGGAAACGTCAGATCTCGTCCGCTGCGCCGTCGGCCTCAAGATGTTGGCACGTGTGAAATGCTTCCGTGTGATGCAGCGGCTTTCTTCTGCAATGCTCGAGGTCACGAGCCGGATCTGGATGTTGCTGCAAAGACCTATGCGGGAATCTCCAGGCACGGCACCCTGGCCCTGACCGTCACTGCATATCTTTCACCGTAGTTGCCGGTAGAAGCCGTAGTAATGTCTGGTGAACACACCGTATGCGACGCTTGGATCGGCCGCGCATTTTCGCGCCTGATCTTGAACTTCGAACAGGCTCTCTTGCGATGCGATCTCGGAGAGGGCATGCCGGGGTCTTGATGTTCTGCGTATGCTGGGGCATTGATAGTTCTCGGATGGGTCGAGCTTACATGAGGGCACCTTCCAAACAAAACATGTTTGCCTTGACGGATCGGGTGATATTTACTCTGGCCGCGGTATTTTCTCAAGCAGCAGTGGGTCTCGGGTCAGTGCAGCCTTGAACAAGTGCGGAGCATGCCCTTCGAGACCGTGAACGAGCAGCATCTGGCCAAAAGCATATATACCAATGTAGAAATACGGCGGCCGTTCATGAGAGGCAGTCCCTGCACAGGGCGCAGAAAGGCCCCCCAGGCTTTTCTTGCCGAGGTATGTCCGGCAGCGGAAGGTCCTGGTGTGCGAGCGTTGCCGGCGACCGTGACTTCGCAGCTAAGTCACAGCCACGGTCCGTGGGCAGCTGAGGGGCCCAGACCACGCATCGCTCAGGATTGACACCTCGGTTCAGCACCGGGACGCCTACCAAACGGGTGGCAGCATTGCGGGTTCACTGGGGGGCTCTGTAGGCCGCGGGCTTAGTCTGTGGAGGCTCATTTTTTGCATGAGCTTGCTCAACTATAGATATTTTGGAGGGATTGAACACGCTTACAACTCCGGCTTTCGCCTACTGCTCGCCTTTATCTATTCGTCTAACTCTCCATGCGTCTCTTTGTTTTGTGATTCAGTGCTTGCACTCCTTCTGCTTGATGAGCCTCCCTCGCTTCCGAGGTGGCTCGATGCTGGCTGGGGCAGTCCTCGGCCCCGTTGGTGCTCTCGCGGGTGCCATCGGTGGCGCCATTGCCGGCTCCCGAGCCGGTGCAGCTGCGAGCGAAGGCTGGGGCCTGGGATGGCTGGGGCTTCGGCCGCTTTCTCTGCTTTGCACATTCTGGGAGGGGGGGGGGGGTGTACTGCTGCGCGGGCGTCTGTGCGTCGCTGTCTCTCTGTCTCTCTCTGTCTATCTCTGTCTGTGTGTGCGTGTGTATGCACGTGTGAGGCATCTGCGACGTGCCAGCCTTAAGATGTGTTGCGACACATTCTCGTGTACTTCCTGTGTCATGGCCGAGGCCGTCGACTCCAGTGGGACTCAGCTATGCAATGCGTGCAAAGCCAATTGGCTGCAGGGCGCTGTCGCGCTGGTAGTGTTCTGTATGCCTGGCTGCTACTGCTACAGAGGAAGCTGCGAATGTTCGGCAGATGGGCCACCAGAATTGGGGTGGCGGCCGATTGGGAAGTGGTGATGAGCCAACTGCCCCTCTGCAGGCTCAGAAGTGCCCCTACAAGGATGCATACAGATGCACTCGAAGATGTCTGCAGCAGGCGTCCTCTGCATCCGCACCGAGTGCCCCTGGCGTTGGGGAGCGACTTGGCGAGGTGGCAAGTGGTGCTGGCGCCAAGATCGGTGAGGCGCGCCGAAGTGGTACAGAACTTGTGCAGAACGTAGCACGGACCTGTACCGCATACTGCTGCCGGACCTTGGCATCTCTTTCTTTCTCTCTCTCTCTCTGTTTCTGTCTCTTTCTGTGTTGCCCAGTAAAGCTCGCAAGACTCCAGACCTCAAGCAAGCGGCACGACAGGCGGCATCTGCTGTCGGAGAGGGTCTGAGCGGCGTCGGCAGCTGGATGAGGAGCTGGGGGGAGCCTCGTGCAAGCTTTGGGGGGACCGTTGAACCTGCTTGAAGTTTGAGGAAGTCCGTGAGCTCCATGACCGGCAGTGACGAGCCCAAACCGCCCAAGCCGCAAGCATCTGGGCGACCGGACGAGGCGAAGGGATCGAAGGGGACCAGGGAGGGCCAGAGGGAAGACTGGAGTGCGCTTCGGATAGCAGGCCTTCCGGAGCTTTGAGGGATCTGGCCGAGCCTTGGGCGCTGATGCCGTGGATGTCAACCAGCGGAGAGATGCCCGGGCGGCCGCAGCAGAGGCGGCAATGAGAAGAGCCGGGCAGGCAGGTATTGCGGCGCATGGGGATGGTTCAAGATGGTAGGATTTGTTGGAATGCGCGGAGCAGGAATGCAAGAATGCAAAACACAAAAGCACAAGCTTTGTGAACCCTCGACATGGCAGGCTCCTACCAGTGGATACGCGCAGACATCAACCCCAGGTGCAGGAGCTGCGAATGCTGCAAGCGCGCAGGCCGGACGACTGGAAAGTAAAAGTCTTTCTACGGCACGACGTTTAGAGTTATGAGCGAACGCTTCCATACCTTGCTCGCAAACTAAAGAAGTCGTTGTATTGTGCAGTCTGCTTTAACATAACATGGCATAACGTAACGTAGCATAACACAACATAGCATAGCACAACATAACACAACATAACAGCAACATAGTTGCGTAATAGCAGAACAGAGTATAAACTAATATATCGTATTACAAAATATAATTTAACACGATGTAGTAGGTTATCTTATCATGAAGACAGTTCAAGGTTATAACTACCCACAATATGACATAGTATGTTATGATATGTATATATATATATATATGTATGTATATATGTATATATGTATATATATATATATATATATTAGTACTAATACATCATAGTACAGTGCAATATCACATAGTATTGTATAGTCTAAAATATAGAAGAACAGCACGAGATCGCATGATATGAAGTTTAAGTTAAATGATAAGCATGTATTGTGGTATTCCACAAGTTGATTCAACATACTATCGCATTATGTAGCCAAAAAAGCATATACTATGCTGCGATATGGTGCAGTACAGTATATAAGATAGTACAGTACGACACAGTATTGGATATTATAACATAGCATACCACAATATGATATAGTGCAACATAATATGATCTAGTACAAGAGAATACAACGAATATGTATAGACATACACACACACATACATATATACATATATATATATATATATATGGTACCCCCCCCCCCAGTTACCAATACATTCCTGTGTTTTCCTTCTGCTGGCAGCACCATGAGACAAAAACAGAGCATTCGAGCACCCTCTTGGGTGAGACTTGTGACAAGACTCTCCATGAACGTTTTGTGGCCTTAGAGGGCGCTTGCACCACTTTGAGTATAGCAACAGGATGCTCAGCACTTGAGTACTCGCTCTGCATCACACTTCTCCGCAAACTAGAAAAAGCGCTGTACTGTCCCAAGAAAACCAATCTTTTTTTGCAAAAGTGCTGTACTGTCCCAAAAAGACCAAAAAAACCAATCTTCTACAGTCTTGGAGCAGCTGCCGTGAAGCGGCCTCCAATAGATTGGTTTTTTTGGGACAGTACAGCACTTTTGCAAAAAAGGATTGGTTTTTTTGGGACAGTACAGTGTTTTTTGTTGCTTTTCTTGCAAAAGTGCTGTACTGTCCCAAAAAAACCAATCCTTTTTTGCAAAAGTGCTGTACTGTCCCAAAAAAAACAAATCTATTGGAGGCCCCTACACGGCAGCTGCTCCAAGACTGTAGAAGATTGGTTTTTTTGGTTTTTTTGGGACAGTACAGCACTTTTGCAAAAAAGGATTGATTTTTTTGGGACAGTACAGCACTTTTACAATAAAATTAACGAAACCACTGTACTGTCTCAATCAAACGATCTTTTGGAAGGTTTCCGTCACGCGCGCGGCGCCCGCGCAAAACGCACTGCAGATTTTCTTCTCGCGCTCTGTTAGCTTTGACTTACAGCAGATTTTTGTTTTGCCGTCAACTTGAGATCTGGTTTCATTGTAAATTATTCTACAGTGAACTCCAGAAAGTTGAAACATCAGTATCCTAATGCCCTTGTACTAAAGGCAAAGTAAATCAAACACTAATCACCCTAAATCAATGTTCCAACTTTCTGGGGTTCACTATGATTAGTTAATGTGCCCTTATTTTTGTAAGTGTTTGTTGGAGATGGTAGAAGGGTGTGTTTTGTTTCTGGTTGCCAGTTTCACTGACGTTATATGTTTAGGGTGATGAGTGTGATATTTGATTACTTCAGTGAGCACTGTTTACGTGTGTTAGGTAAATGAGATAGACTGATGTAAGTGAATGATATGTTAATACTGTGTCCTTAATTACATCTAAACCCATAAATATGGGTAGCTTTTTGATTTATGATAGGATGGAAAAGCTTGCTTAAAGCATTGTGGCAGGAATATGATGATTAGCATAAGGGTATGGCGGTAGTAGTATAACAGGATAAAGGTACAGTGTAATCGTGTTTAATGCTATGGATTGACTAGTAGTGGTAGTAGTAGTAGTAGTAGTAGTAGCAGTTGTAGTAGTAGTGATAGTAGTGATAGTAGTAGTAGTAGTAGTAGTAGTAGTAGTAGTAGTAGTAGTAGTAGTAGTAGTAGTAGTAGTAGTAGTAGTATCAGTAGTAGATTGTAGTCGTAGTACGGTTCTTGTGATGGTTTGTTATGACCATCTTGATAATAGTTGGATATGTGACAGGATCTAACTTAATATCATGATACGAAATTCAGGAGCACTATGGTGAGAAGACATGGTCTAGGAAAAGGTCGCCTGGATACATTTGGGGCAAGATGTGGAATGACGCTGAAACACATAGACCTAACTAAACATGTAGTAATGTGGTAGTAGCAGTAATAGCAGCAGCAGCAGCAGCACGAGGAGGAGTGGTAGTGGTAGTTGTTGGTGTTAGGGTTGTACTATTATTAGCGTGTGATAAGGAAGGATGGGTGATAGATTAGAGGCACGTCTAAGTAATACAGAGGGTGCCATTAAACCGTTACTACCTATCATGTGCTGAAGCATCCTGTATGTGTATGGCATCAATGTAGTCAGGCTTGCCTGTCCCTGTATTAAGCGCCTCCTGGATGCATGCGTCTTGAATTGCGGGATCTAGGGGATGAACAAAATCACCTTGTGGTCGTGCACTAGAAGTATCTGAGACCTTCGAGTGTCTTGGTGTCATGAATTGCAGGGTTTAGAGCACAGAACACACAATTCTATTGGTATCTGGGGGGGGGGTAGCATATATATATATATATATATATATATGTGTGTGTGTGTGTACATGCAACCGAGTGTAATAGAACCAATTAGAATCGAATAGAATACATCCGTGAGAAGAGTGTCCGATGCAGGCACTGATCGATGAGGACGAGGCGTTGGCGCGGCGTCTCCAGGAGCAGCAGCTTAGCTCAAAGAGAGATTTCCCTATACTATACGATACGATACTATACTATACTTTATTATACTCTACTAAATTATGGCATAGTACAGTGTAAAACTGAGAAGCTCCCGTGATACGATCGTGCTATCATGCTGTACTCTTATAATACTCCCTGCGTTCCTGTGCTCCTCTGTCGTTCTGTCGCCTGCATTTGGCCGATGCGTTCATGCAAAAATGTTTGTTCAGGTTCGACTTAGAAGAACGGGAAGGTCGATGAAAGGCAGCGTGAGACGATGACATGCAAATGGAGTCTTGAGAGAGCGCGTCGCCAAGATGGATAGGCTCCTGGATGGCCATAAGAGCTGTCTGTCGGAATCGGATGCAAGGCAGATTGTACATTTTGCTTGGCACTCTGGCGTCTTCACTCCCTCCCAGATTTGGGAGCACACGGGCCGTTGCGTCGTGAGTGCCGCTGTGCATCTCTGGTCGTACAGAGGGAAGCACACTTCACGTTTGTTAGCTAGCCGTACAGTTGCATCTGAGCTTGCGATGCAAAAACGCGGCATTTGCAGTCCAGTTGCTCTGGGGTTCGGTTTCCTTGCCCATAAGTCTTTCTGGTTCAAGCTTTTGTCAGAGTCATTTTCCCGTCATCGGCTCGAAGTGAGACCCGGCAGGCCCACATGTGCGCACGTGGGCGCAGGATCCTTTCTCGTGCTGTCTGCAGACTGCTTTGAGCCCCATGGTGGTGCCATGCCATGCCAGTCGACCTGAGTCTTGCACATTGCTGCCCCCCGGCATAACTTCTCCCTCTTACTAGACCCTTTGGAAGAGACGAACCTGGACAGGCAAGGAATGCTACATGCCACTTCTTGGCGGCCACTTGCTTCAACTTCGGTCGTCATCTGTCGAGTCCCTGGTTTTGCAGGCATCCCCGCGGGGTGCTCTGTGAAAGATGTGACGTGTGTCAGGTGTCTGCGAGTATGATCCTGAGCACACTCCGCTACCAGTGGATCTGAGTGATCCGGCTCTTCCGAAGTGGTTTGGGAAATGGTTGCAGAATTATCGCCGTCGACAAGCATTGCGACCTTGGCTGGTAGGACCCCTGCCACCTCTTTCGAACATCGAACGCTGCGGACAACTCAGCCTCCCGAACGCTTTCGAGGCCCATAACTGCGATGTTGACATCCAGGGCCCTCGTTGCCCGCAATGCTGGATTCACTTAGAAAGAACTGGTACCACTGGTGGCGGTTTTCGCTGCCCGCTGGACCCGTCTCATGATGTTTCAGATCCTGTGTGGGACTTCTCACCTCACCTGCCTACAAGGCCTCCGACCGTGGCCTTAGAAGCCTTACATGCTGATGCTTCTCCAAAGGAGGAGAAGCCGGAGCCCAAAACGGACGACTGGATCAGAGACCTTGGTCTGCCCATCACGCTGTCGGCATGGCTTCGGGACGTTGATGGGCAAGGCTTCCTGAGCACATATCAGGCGCCTCCGGGGGAAGCAGCAACTTAAAGGCTCTAAGGACTCTCAGGTTTCGTGTCTTTCGCAGCCTTCGGAGCTCTCCCATATCCAATCTGAGAGGATGTGCTGGCCACCCACTTCGACTCCCCGCAGCAGCTCTTGGATGTGCATCCTTGCAGGTTTTAGCCAGCTTCCGGGGTCATGAATCGGCGCTACTTTGGGCGGTGTCCTTGTGTCCATGCCGCCTCGACTTTGGGGTTGAAGGTTGCGGGTACTGCCCGGAAAAAGAAGCAGACTCGCAAGTGAACTCAGCCCTTCCACTTCGCTGACATGCTTGTAGTTGCAGCCAAGGTACCTGACCCACGGGCCTGATAAGAAAGTTTGCTTCGACACAGCGTTCTTCCAACAAATGGTGCCTCAGAAGTCTTGTAGCATTTTTTGTCGATACTTCTGCGCAGAACTGTCAAACCTGGTGAAGCCATTGCTGCAGTAAGGGCATTCAAAAATTGGGGCATCGTCGGCTTTTTCAGAGGTGGCTGGAGCGAAAAGCCTTGCACCTGACGGGCCGTGAACACGCTTCGTCGGAAAAATTGTCGGTACGCCTGTCCGTTGTGCTCGCAAAACTTTGTGCTTGCCTGTGTCCGTGCACGGCTTTCAAGGCACGGATGTGGCGGAGAAGTTGCAGCGGGAGGAGCTGGGCCATGGCCGCAGATCTTTGGGCATTTCCTGTTTCCCTGCGTTCGCAGAGCCTTTTGGGCACCATGTGGAGAGTGGAAATCAATTCAGTGTAGAGAGTTCCTGGCCTGCATGCCGTACGAGAGCGGAAACTGGCCGGTGCTTGAAGGCCTGTCGCCCTGGGGATTGGAAGAGCTCGTGGAGCAGGTGCAGACATCTACAGTACAGATCTCTAGATATCTCTAGCCTCCAGTGGTGACGCCACATGCTGACTGGTGGTTTCAGAGCTTGCGTTCGTGCACACCTGCTAGGTTGTAAACACTTACAGCGTGGGAGGTTGAAGGAAACCAGCTAGGTTGAAGTTTGAATTAGTCTGTGAAGCATACCAACCTTCCAGCCGTGCTGGTCTGGCCCCGCTTCGCAGACAAACACTATACAGTACTACGATTGAGTATGGTTCGAAGCCATGTATATATTTGATTGGCTTGGCCCCGATAATCAAGCAAACAGCTCAATGCCTGGATTGCGTAAGCTGCTGGTCAGGGCGCCGAGGCAGCTGAAGAAGCCCGGAGGCTGGATGTAGCAAGGCATACAACTGAAATTTCTCCTGAGTGCCTGTCGAGACGGAATCTCTCACGGCAGGCGCGAGCCGCTGAACCTGCGTGGGCAAGTCTTCCCACTGCCGCCCCGCAAGCGCAGCACAGAGTACTCGGCATCGCTTCGGCAGATGCGTGCACATTCAGGAAAGCGTGCAGGCATTCAGCGATGTTTTCTGATAGTCTTGATGCCGACTGCGTTGATGAATTGCCTTGGCTGGTTTGGCATGTGCTGATTCGCCTCCTCTTAAGTGCCCTGGCTGTAGAGAGCAAGCCATATGAAATCTCAAATGGTGGCAGCGAAAGTAATAACAGCCTAACAAGATCGGAACCTGCGCACAAACGGAGATCTCACTAGCAGTAGTCAACCGAATGCCTGTTCGGCATAGCCATCGACGCAAGCATGCATGGATTTGAATTGCTGGCGACATGTGTCCCGAGTCCGGACGGAGCTTATGCCATGAATGCTACACGCGTTCGACATCTCGAGACACTCTGCTGAGTAAAGCGTTGCTGCGAGCGGTCTGCAACTTCAGCTGTTGCCTGAAAACTCCTCCCCTTGAGCTGTCAGGAATGCACTGAATCTTTTCGACAAGACCCGCAAGCAGACGCCCGAGCCATCATCGACCGCCAGTTATGAGCTGCCCCAGGGAAGGCCACTTCTGCAGCATTCGAGGACGGAGGCGCCCGCTCTTCCGCTGGACCTCTTCTTGCGGCGGTACTTCCAGGCACACGTGTCTTTCAGTCTGGATCCATCTAAAATCCAGTTCTGGTGTATTGATTCAAGCATCGCCAGCAGGCACATAAGTTCTTGGACGAGAAAGACCGTGCGTGATGCCTGCTCGTTGGAAGCAGAGAACCGGGTTCGCACTACGGAGCCGGCTTCAAATCTGCACTTTGCGAAGCTTTTCTGCCAGGTGGATTGCAGACAAGACCTATGAGATGCATAGGCAGGGTCTGGCAGAAGAAGCCTTATGTCTCATGCATACCTGGCGTAGCAAGTGTGAGGGAAGTTTTGAAAATGCAGAAGGTGGATGCGATTTGGCTGGCAGGTGGCGAGGCCTAATCGACCACTTGACCCCACAACCGCACAACTGGGTGTGGGCCCAACTCTTTTGAGCGGTCATGTCAAGCTTGGTATGCACTCCCGCTCCACAGTTATAAGTTAGGCCTTTGAGCCGTGGGCCGCAGCCATTGGCTAGAAACAAACAGAAGACAAGTGACCTATAACTGCTGGACAAATCAAACGGACGAAGCCAATCCCACGAGACACGCGAGTGCGAGACAAGCATCTTTCACAGTGTGCTGATGTCAACACCACCCTTCGATGCATCGCTTGTGACACCAACGGCCGTGGAGGAGCCTTTAGTGCTGAACTATTCATGCTAGCATGCTTTCAAGCCGCCTTGTGCATTGCTGCAAGCCAGGAAGCTTATGCTCGATTGTGTCTCTGCTTGCATCTATGTGGGTTTTGCCGTCTCTGGACAAGACAGATCCAGCTGAAGACAAGCTTAGGCGGCCTCATGTCCATCGCACGCGACTAGATTGCAGCCCTTGCCGTGGCCAACTGTGCAGAAACGTTGTGATTTGGGCCCGAGGCGGGTATTCACCTGTGGACAGTTGGATCATCGAGCCTCGAGTTCCAGTGGTGCTCCACGCAGGCTGTTTTTGAAGGCGAGCTTGGGCACTCAAACGCTTGCGGCGCTTGCTTTGACGAGTCATAAAGTCATAGACGGGCTAGGAGATGCAGCCACCGAGCCTTCTCGTGTGCAGGCCGAGCATGAACAAAAGACGGGCTCTTTCAAAATTCGTGGTGCCATCCATGCGATCGGCCACTAGATTGACACCGGTCAGTTTCTCCCGCTGATTCACACCGTCTGTCAACCGCTGTTGCTTGCAATTCAGGTTTGTCTTCTGCGGTCGCCTAGCTGAATGTACTGGACGTTTGGAGAGTGTTGCTGCAACTCCAGAACCCAGGATTACATCGTGACGCAATCGAGTGGCAACCATGCCCAGGTCTGATGCTAGGGTTGCCTGAGTGGCGATGTTATCCTGCTCACGCGAGTACACTGCGAGACCTGGTTCAGCGATGAACTGCAACTGTCAGTACCTCTGGCCGCAGGCGATAGCCCTGGGCAGCAAGCTTTTGGGGAAGAAGGCCGGGGTGCAATGTCTGAGTGTTACTGGCAGCTCTATAGAGTCTCACTGGTGCCGAGGCCATCGTGGTCATGCCAGAGGACTCCCCGAACGTCAAGGTCAGTGCAGTTCGGGACACCTACGGTGCAGAGGCCTGCTGCCAGAACACGGTGAGACAGTCAACTGTGCTAAGCGCGATGTCGAAGCCTTGCGCAGGTCAGGTTCTGCAAGCCCACGCAAGAGGCACGTGAGGCCGGCGCTCGGGACGAAGCTTGGGTTCAAGGAGTGGTCACGAGATGTCACGGGCCAAGATGGATGCGAGGCCATGTCAGCTGAAATTGTGGCTGACCTTCGTCAGCAGCATGGCGCAGACAAGGCTGAAGAGATTCACCCAAATCAGGCGTGATGGCAAAAGCGCGGCAGCACGAAAGCACGCCCGCCTTCTTTGTTTGGAGCCTCGTGCAGGACATCCGGGTGGTGAATGGCCAGGGCTCTGTTGCTCTGGAGCTGCTGGAGCAACAGACCGACCTGGATGCCATCGTGGCCGGGCCCCCACGGGCCTGCGAAATTGGGGAGAGAGGATGAACTTGGGGGATGTCCAGGTGTCCATTGGGGGCGGCGGCCTGATTTCCGGGATCGCCACGTATGTTGCGGACTTTGCAGGGCTTGAGACTTTGTGCGGTATGCCCTCTTGCACACGACCACGACGTCGCTGCCAACACACAGGTCAAAAGCGTTAACAAAGCCATCAAAGTAATTGGTGCAGAGCCCGAGCGTGCCAGAAGCGAGCCTTACCAGCAAATCAGGGCTGCATGTGCGATCTCGCGCGTTGAATTGGAGTGCTTTTGCATCGCATGTCCAAGGCTTTCATGTCGAAGCAGGCTGGTAAGCTGGCACCTTGGCTGGTCTTCACTCGGCTGACTCGACGGACCAGCCGTGCACCCTTACTTGTCGATTTGGTAAGCGAGCAGTTGTGCGTGCAAGTCCTCCAAGGTGAAGAATCCCCCAAACACTGTCATTGACACCATTGCCGATTCTGTGAAAAGCAGCCTCGGTCCAACGACGTACCCCGTCGTCCAGGTGCCAGCTTACATGTCGGAATGGTGGCTCGATTCAGATCGAAGACCCCTGCCAGGATTTGGTGGACGATGTCTTTACCGCCACCGAACAGGAGATCGAGGATGCCACCAAGTTCACATTGGAGAGAGCCAAGCAGGCACCGGGATCGTCGTGGTCGAGCCAGGGGGCGTTAGCGGTTCCATTACGCTTGGTGGCCAAATCCCACCTCTCCTCACCTGTGCATCAATGTTGCCCTGTACCGGGTCCGCGTCTCGTGTCAAAGCGGGCTCATAGCTCTGCAATGCGGAAGCTAAGCCGCCATGCAGCTCTTTAAGCACAGGCACGTGCTGTTATTCGCGGAAGTGCACATCAGCCCGTTTCTGAGAGGTCATCGAGCCGGGATGTGGTGTGGCAGTTGCGGTGGCAACATCCAAACAGCTGTATGATCGGCCGCTTGGCATGTAGAAGCGTGATATCGGGATGCCATGTTCCGTCGGATCTGCAAGGTATCCTGATCTCCAAAAGATTGGTGTCGTGCTGTGTGGTGGTGTCTCGGCAGCTCGAAGTATCTCGAAGTGGTACCCAGACAGTTGCGAGGGATGTCTCGTCTTGGCTTCAGGAAATGTTGACTTGGACAACCTGCCCTGGCGGAAGTGAGCTGTTGGACCGCAGAGGAAAAGGTCTCTGAGAACTGGTGGGGCCATGTTGTGTCGGGATGCTGCAGTGTGAAATCTGTCGATGTCTCTGAAGCTGATGTCGATGAAGTGCCACGTGCTCTTCTGCTGCGACGTTTGCTAGATGCCGTGCCGCCAAGGTCAATCGCATGCGCATGGCGCTGAGAAGCCTGTCGAGGGCAAGTGGCAGAAGTAGCAAGTGCTCGGCTCTCTTCCAGGCACGTTCTTCATGGGGGATCGGTGGCGAGCACAGTCTCGAGCTCAGCTCATCTTCTTCGACAAGATGGCGAACTGCCGCAGCACCAGGTCCCAGAACAAGAAGCTTCCTCACCACGTGAGGTGCTCCTTTCCGTCGTGTGCCCGGTAGGAGTGGGACCAGGCCTCTGTGTGATGAGCCCTCGAGACTCGAGACCTGAGGTCTGAATTGTTCAAGCGGATGGAAGACAACGTCGGCACAAAGGCAAATTTGGCTTCGAGTGGCTCCCCCGAGAGTGTATACAATAAGGGGTCGCTGGCAGGTGGCGGTCGAACTCTGCGAGATACTGAATGAGCCCGTGGCCAGCTCAAAGTCCGGCTTCCATTGTGCGGGTGTGCCGGAGCAGATACGGCGAGTCAGCGCCCAAAGGCGATGACCTTCCTGCGCGTGAACACATCGCGAATTTCGAGGGACAAGGCCTGCAGGCAGACAGCATGCCGGAAGGAACACTCATGAAGAGGAAGCGCTGCAAAAGGTGTTTACCTTCCTGAGCAGCAGATCCGTGCCCGTCGAGAAGACGAGAATCTTGCTAGCTTTCCTTTCAAATCAAAAACTGCTGTCGCCACCCATCGCTTTATGAAGCTTCATTGCCAGGCAAAATTCCCAAATGGGCCTTCTTCTGACTTCCAAGTGGTTCACTCAGACGCGGAAAGGATCTGGCACACTGTTTGCTGGTCACAGTCACATACTTGCAGGCAGAACTTGCTCGAGGTGCCAGAATACAAGCTGGGGTGCCGCCCCGGTTGCGAACGGCAGGGACTGTGCAGCAGCTTCGGGAACTCCAGGCTTCATGCAGCATTTGGGCTCTTTAGTTAGGTTCTGTCGGTGCAGTGACTCAGCCGCCTCAAAATCATCTCCAATGACTGCTGCAAGAGAAGTTTACTTGCTGGCACCTGCTGCAAGTACTAATGGCGCAGCACGTCAAAGCACGTTGTCCTGTGAGGGTTTGAAAGCTGGACGAACCACACCGCCTCCATGTGTGGCGAGCCTGAAGGGGATGTTTTATCCCAGAGATGGGCCAAGAGGGAAGAAGAGTTGGAGGCCGCACCGCTTGATCTGCGCTGTGTGGTAGGGACTCCAGGGACCCAACTCCAGTTGAGATCTCATAATGTGACAGATCAAGATCAGGCGGTCGCTTCTTGCTTTCCAAGATGCTGGGAAGCGGGTCCTTCGGCCAGCCCCGAGCTTGAAGGGACACTTTTTTGGCTTTGACTGCTTTTCGGCTGTTCTTGAGGATCTACATCGCCAAAGACTCAGAACAGGGCGATCGCGATGTGGCCCTCAAGCTTGAGGTCAAGGCACAAACGGGACGAACATCAGAACGTGGCACCGTCTGGGAGCAACAATATGAGATGTTACACCCCCAGGGTCAAGAAAGGTCCTAGGACAGCTTGGAAACCTGAAAGTCCGTGTCAGTGAATCCTGTAGCCAGGACACGAAGCACCCGCAGTTGATCTACGAGGCCTTCGGAATTGACAGCCAAGCCGTCGCATGCTTTTTTTGCGCGCGCGCTGATGCCGGAAGTCGTCAGTTTGTCCATGTTTCTTCATTGACCTGCCGACGCCGGCCCACCCTTAGCCCAAGATTGGAAACGACTGGGCTTTGGATTATCACGGGTCCTTGTCTATGAGACGGATCTGTGACGAGGCCAAGCTGCTCAAGCTGCTTCAGGGATCGCCTGGTGTTGCAGAGGCCAGGCTCGGGAACACCCTGAGAAACAGAACACATGATGCGGGAAGGTGCATAGTTGTCGAAGCCTGCGGCGCATGCAGCCTGTACCGGAAACCTGATCTTGCTTCGGCAGATTTTCTATTTCGGCTTTGAAGAAGACTTCGCAGCCTGTGGCTTACAAAGGCACACTTGTGTCCATGGCCTGCAGCGATGCATTTCAGCAAAGCACAGCATTCAGTTGAGGTCATGGCCATGGAGTTGATGGGGCCCTCGCTGGAAGATGTCTTCAACCTTTGCAAGCGCAAGCTATCTCTCAAGGCCCGGCCGTTTCAGCACCTGATCACTCTCATTCCTCGCATTTGGACTTGCCTCGTGAAATCTGTCGGAGTCCACGCTGATGTTAGCTGACCAGCTGCTTCTTCGGAGACTTGGCACTCTTGTCGGTATTGTCTCAGCTTGCCAGACTTTTCTTTCTGATTCTGTATTGCTAAGGATCGAGCACTTTCACAACCGGCACTATATACACCGCGATATAAAACCCGTGCCTTCTCAAAATTGGCTCTACTTGCCTCTGCAGCTTGGCACCGCTGTCAAATGTTGTCTAACCGTGGCTCCAGGACAATTTCCTGATTGGCCGGGGGCAGAAGTCAAACCTTGCCCGGAGCTGAACGTGGCAAGCACTGGAGTTTCGCATGCGCGGCTCTGTGTTCACAGCCAGGTGTACATAATCGACTTCGGACTGGCCAAGAAATACAGAAACCCGGAGACTCTCGTCCACGGGCCTGGCGCCCAATATCGATGTTTCTCTTCTCCTGAAGAGATGTTCCGAAAGCGATTGCTCAGGCCATACCGTGAAAACAAGAACTTGACGGGCACTGCCCGTTATGCTTCACTGAAACTTGCTGAAGCATTGGACTTGTCCAGAGCTTGAGCGTGGAGCTGCAAAGCGGAGTGCCTGCCTGCATTCCACAAGTCTCCAAGTGAAGAGATACGAAGAGGAATGCGCACCTGGGCATCGAGCAGAGTCGCCGCGATGATTTGGAAGCCATCGGCTTTGCCGGAGTCTTGAAGTATACTTCTTGAGCTGTTGTCGAATATAACAGTGACTCCACTGCTTCTGTCGACCGTAGCGGCTTCGAGCGTGTGGATCATTACTTGTTCATGTGTAAGGAACAGTGGTGAGCCTTGTGATGGTTGTGGTTCTATCGGAGGGCATCCCATGAGGGGCTCAGCTCTGAGGTTCTGGTCTACTTTCTCAAGGGCTCGCTGCCCTGGCCAGGGCCCTACACTCCTTTGCGTGACCTCCAGGAAAGAAATGGGTTTGAATCGGTCGTGGGAAGAGGGGGAGTGAGGGAAGTACTGCTGACCGTTGAAAGGAACCGAGGTAGTAACATTGAATGTGTCTTGATTGTATTGTAAATTGATACAGCTAAGCATGCAGAGCTGTTTGGATGGTGCCCATAAGGTTCAGGTTGGCAGCGGCAGCACTAGAAGATTGGCAGTAGCAGTGTCAGCATGTTTCAGCAGTACCACCTCCAACTCTAGTGTGCAGACTCTAGTGTGCAGAATGGGATAAGCCGGGGTGACTGCTCAGGCGTGAGTATCAGGAACAGTAGTAATACAAAAACAGTTGTCGACACCTGCGCTGTCAGTGTTGGCAAAGAACTCATGGAAGGGGCCTGCGACAGCCCAGGCAAGGCATCAAGGCTGAGGGCAAGCACGACAAGCGTCTTGGGCAGTGATAGTGGCTTGAACGGCCAGGGGAGCCCTTGTGCCGGCCAGCATGGCTTCAGCATTGCTTGTTGAAACATGTTGAAGCCTCGTTTGCGCTTGGCATCGCAAGGTATGCTGCCATCATGGAGATGAAGATCAAAATGACCTTCGCGGAGCTATGCCAAGGCCTGCCAGAGGAGCCATGCCACTGCGCGGCCATCATGCAAGAAGCTGCGTAAGTCAAGCTCGAGTCCCATGCGTATGGTGCACAGGAGTTCGCAACATTCCTGAGCTATGCATCTTGCCGGCAGGGGTTTGATATGAGATTGTGGGGAAGTGCTGCACGGGACTCGCGATGCTTCGCTGCGGTTCACGGTAAAAGGCCCGGCATCTGGCTTTCGATGAAGATCCTGATTACCGCAGCTGGGCTGATTTCATGGACCCTGCATCAGCTAAGGTGTCGAGGTGGAGTTACTCCGTACAAGTTTCCACTGTCGAGGTATCCTAAAAGTGTGGTTTTCGTGTATAGATCAAGCTGGTGGCTTCGTCATGCTTCGTCATGCTTGGCCAACAACTCCTTAGATATCTCTATCTAGATGTCGAACGTCTATGCATCATTGCCTGCAGCAGCTGCTTCTCACGCGCTGCTGCTCTGCTTGCAAAACTTGCTTTGCTTATGGCAAGGGGATTTCAGGTGTAAATCGGTGTTGCAATCTGTGCTAGTTCCCTGAGTGGGTTTGCGGAGCTTCAATACCGAGGATATATGCGCTGGCTCTTCAAGAGCTTGTACCATCGCCGATGCCTCAGCTGCTTGTTTTTGTAGCAGCCGAGTGCAGCCGAGCGCCGCCGCAGCCGAGGCGAGGGCTTTCGGAATGACGGCTGCTTCGACTGGAACGTTGTGAGGGCCCGACCAGCCTCAGAGGTGGCGGAGCGTCGTGAGGCGACATGTGCCGAAGGGATCCGGACATTTGGGAAAGCTGAGTCCTTGCTTGTCCTAAGAAAGAGGCAAGACTTCGGAAAATGAGCACGAGCGTGGTGGCGAGCCAGCCTTCGGACCGTGGCCAGCTTCAAAGTTATGCGGGTTGATGATTCTTTCGTGCATGTTGCATGTGTTCCGCAGTTCCTTCACTTCCTTTTTCGCTGCTGCAGCTTTGCACGCTCTGACACCTCCCTGTTGTAAATGCCGCGCACGCGTGTGTGTACGCCATTGTAAAGCCATCTACATTTTCTGGCTTTTTATGCGAGGCAGCTTCTCAGGCCCGAACAGAGTCTCTCTTTGTTCTTCTTACAACAGACATCTGCAGGTTCAACACGGTGTGGAGGGTGTGAGGACAGAGTTCAACACACACAGTTCAACACTTCGCAGACTAAGGTGCAGCGGATGACGTCGTCCTGTCTTTCCGTTCGAGCAACTAGAGGCGGAACTACATCAACTATGCCGCTTTGTAGCCGGTCCATTTGCATCTTATCACTTCGAAGAGAGGTGAAGGGGGGCGGTGTTGCCTGGCAGTGCACCGGCGAACATCGTTGTGCAACTGCCAGGTGCTAGGTTTCACCTCAAGACGCGAGTACCGGTTGTGCCAAGGATCTGGCAGAGCTTTTCCGCAGTTCGCACATGACGGTTGTGCATCATGTTTCGCCATCGCCTGGTAGGTACTTTGAGATCCAAGACGAGTCTTCGCAGATAATTTCTGCCCAGGCCTGGCTGCAGGCTGTTTCAGTCCTACACTGCTCGACGTGGCGCAAAGGAACAGCGCGAAGCTCGAAAGTGTTGAATCAGTCAGTTGCCCGGGGTAAGAGGTCGATGCGAAGCCTGGAGACATGGTGATGGACTACTGTGCTGGGAGCGGCGGCAAGGCTCGCAACGCATGGCAGCTTGGAAGCTTCGTGCACGGGAACATGGTAGGCGCTTTGCATTGCGCCTCCAATGCTCAATCGAGGGCAAGCCACGGCCACAGCTAAGCATGCGGGCACTGCTTTCGGTCGTAGTTCTTGCATGATACCGATGATACCATGCATCAGTTGACTCGCGTGATCATCGACTCCTTTTGCTCGCCAGCGCATGCCGTCGAGAGTCAGACGGCGTGTTGACAATGATTGCCCACTTACTTGCATCCCCCCCAGACCTCGCATTTACGGCAAGTCCTGAACACAGTCCAGAAAAGCTACGCACTTGAAAGGTGGCCCATTGCCTGTGCCGCAATGTTCCTCGCCCCTGTGTTCGAGTAGTCGAGGCTCCAGTATGGGTGCACATTGCTGTCGCCAGGACGCACCACTTCTTCCTGGAGAGCCAACAGATTTGGATTCTCCTAGATTTGGGGATGGACCATCGCTGATCCCTCCATTTGGTGTGGAAGACGGACACGATGCGCATGACTCCGAATCCGAAGATGATATACCTCAACTGCCTGTCGGCGGGAGGTTTACAGTGATGATGTTTGGCATGACAGGGGCTGGCAAGAGTGCCATCGGTAATCTGATGGCAGGTTGTGAAGCCTTTGCATCGGGAGATGATACGGCAAGTGTAACGAACCTGGATTCGGTGTCTTGGTTGGTACTCAGCCACGTTTTGTTGCAGGGCGTGTGGACCGGTTGTGGGTGTTTGCGCGCCGGTAGTTGTAGGAGACATCGTCTGTAGCCGGGCGTGATGTTGCACATGTTGCAGCACGTGAGGTCATGAGGTTCGAAGCAGCCGATGATTCTTTTGTCATTTTAGACACGATCGGACTTGGAGACACCGAGATCGATCAGGACAAGGTTGTTGCAAGCATCCGTGACGTTGCGCTGTCGGCGGTAAACGGGGTGGATGCCATGTGTTTCGTTATGCGAAATGCACGTATCACTGACGATGCCATCGCGCGACTGATATACGTCACGGAATTTCTGTGGGGAACAGACTGCCTCCTCAATCTTTATGTCATCGTCACTTTTGCCAGCAGATATTTGGCAAGCAGGGAAGATGCAAACCAGTGGATCGAGAGACAAGTGGAGTTGAATTGGCGCTTCAAGCACATTTACGACCTTGTCGGCCAAAATCCGTACCGTTTCATCTTCATCGATAACCCGAGCATAGATTCAGGAGAGCCGAATGTAGAGGAGCGCCAGGCAGCTAGCAAGCGGGCTTTGATGACCGCCTTTGCCAAGCATCCTCGTGATGTCATTCCTCCTTTCACTCATTCCGTAATGCAGAAAGCCAAGCAGTTGGTAGCCGAGCAGCAAGCAGAAGTGGAGAAGGCAGCTGCCAAAGTCCAGGAGGTTGTTCAGAACAAGCCCAAGAAGAGGCGCAAGAGCAGCAAAAGCCGGCCCGTCCGATCCTCACGCTCTCAGAGCCATGAGAGCTCCGGAGTGGATCCAGTCAAGGAAGCACTGGAGGAGAAGAAGCGGGCGCAGGATAATTTGGACCAGGCACTGATCAAGGTGAAGAAGAACGCGGAATTCCAGCGTGAAGTTGCCAAAGAGGCCGAGCTGGCAACGCTGCGCTTTGGCCAGGCCTACCAAAATCAGGTGGAGGAAGCCGCAGCCGGGCCGGCTGGTTCTCCCACAGCATCCACTTCCACTAACCCCGGTGGCAGTGGTAACCCGGTCCAGGCATGCAAGCGCATGTTCTTCTCACTGGTGAACAAGATGGGTGGCAAGAGCAAGGTTGCGAATCCGAAGGCACTCGCAGCTCAGCCCAAGGACACCCAGCAACCTGTTCAAAGGACGCAGAAGAGAAGAATCACAGCAGATGAGATTCAGAGTGCTTTGGACAACGCCATTTACCAGTTGAAAATGGGAGTTCGGGGCCAAGCACCCATGGCCCTTTTCAAGCAGTTGGACGCAAAGCAGAATGGAATGGTGACGCCCATGGAGTTTGCCAAGTTTGTGCATAGGACGGTTCATGGGATGAGTCGCTAAGGCATGAATCATAAAGGCTGTTTTTATGTGGACAAATCAACCTCTTGCTTGATGCTCTTGTCTATATAGCTCAGAGCCCGGCAGCCCCATCTTTTACAAGCAATCGTTCCATGGTGTCCTGTTCCTCCACACCAGTCTCATCTCTTCCAGGTTCCCTTTAAACCCTGCATGATGTCTGAGGCAAGGCACAAGTTGGTGGCTTGTGGCGGCTTGCAGACAGAAACTGTGACGGCAAGCTCGACTTCCAAGAATTCTGCGACCTTCTTGCTTTCAGGCCCTAGCGTGCCCTAGCGGGTACTGGCTGTTTTGTAGACCAAAAGACACTTGGGACAAGTGATCTTTGCAGGCAAGAAATTCGGATGGCATGGCACTGCCCATGCAATTGCTCTAGATCGTCTAGGCTGTCTTGTCATAGATGTCTTTTTCGGGTGTTGCCGTCATGAAACAAGTTCATCGTGGTGGGCTCGCATGCAAGTTTTACATACCTTGGATTTGATCCGCCTTGTACGTTCACAGCACGCAGTGTTGGCCATAAAGCCTCCACCAATTTGCCAATATCGGTGCTCATGCTTATCTGATCATGGGAACATCATTCCAATTCTGCGTGGCCTTCGTGGCATGTCAAACATCCACGACAGAGAACCTCCAACTTGCAGCTCAGTCAATCGTGGAAGAAGACGAGCGGGCTCATTGTGGCAGTTTGTTGTTAACTTATCTTTATTCAGGGCACGATATAGCTTCAATCTCGAGGTGTGCTTTGCTGGATACATACTTGTAGCAACCGGAGCATTCATTCTAATCTAAGCCTTGTGTATACCTCAAACATCCAGCCTTTGGGTCATATTGTTGCGTAGTCACCGTCAGGTGTATCTTCATGATATTCGCGACACAAAGCTGTTTGAGTCCAAGCGGCGCTTTCGAAAGGCGCAGAGCTGTCTTGTCGATTGTGCGATTTTGGCTGCTGAGACTTAGTTGTGACAAAGGTAGCAGAATTTCCTTCAGTTTTCGGCAAAAGAGTAGGTTCCTGTGGACGTTCTCGGACTGCAGCATACGGCTCAAAGTTTCTTTGCACGGCTCCTGGATACATCAGTGCAAGTGGAGCGCTCAGCTGCAGCGACGGCAGGGGACCGAGAGAGGGAGCAGCTGAGCCGCTTGCATGCGCGACTCCTCAGGAGCTCCATGGCTGGGAGCCGCAGGCCTCCAGGCTGGTTTCGAAACAGGCGGAGTTCTGCGGATAGTTGTGGACTTGGAGCACTGCGAAGGCATGGCCTTGCTGGCCATGTTCTTGGCTGCAGCTTTGTTCACTGTTGCTGTCCATGTGTGCTGGCCTGAGCCTGTACACAGCACCGCAAACATCTACAGATGCGACTTGCCGCTGCAGGCCATGCCGCGCATTCGTGCCAAGTGGCAAAGGAGCTGTGGGAGGGTCGCAGCCACTGAAAGGCGCCGGCCCCGGACCTTCGGGACTCAGCCAGCTGCGGATTTGAGAGAGCCGCCAAGGTTCAGTGACAGTGGCTTCCGCGGCATACCGCCAGGCAACGTCGAGAAATCGGATCAGATTGGTCAAAGAGTCTTGTTGCTCTTGCGCTGATGATATCCAGGGCGCTACGCCTGAGCCTCCGGCGGCCTTCGCGTTGCGAAGCCTCGGCTCGATGCTCTTCCTGGGATCGTCGCTGGGATCGAAAGAGACGTGTTCCTGTCATGTCCTGTCGACGTTTTCACATCCCAGGCTGGCCAGTGCCTTCCGAGCCCGAGCACCATCGCCGTCAGGCGGAGCCTCCCTCTTTCGGCACTGTGGCACTGGGGAAACCGATGCTGCCTGGGAGTTTGGGGGTCAGCTAGGTACGCGATTGGGCAACAAAGCGAAGGCCGTTGTGCGGTTGCAAGCCAGCTACTCGTACCAGCAGGCAGCTCGCAGCCCCGAGAAACCAATCGTCAGCGAAGCAGATGCAGGGGAGGATTGCGTCGAGACTGTCGTCGTGCCGGAACATCCGGAGCTTCTTGCAGAGTCTGAAACCGCGGCGCAAGTGATCACCGCGCAAGCAACGACCGCCACATTTGGCCGCACGGCTATGAAGGCCCGTATGGTTCAAGGGGCGCGCTTCCGCTCTGCCCGCTTCGCTGGACAGGGTCCCTCTATCAGCCAAACAAAGCAGCGGCGAAGAATGGGAGCCAGGTTGCGTGCCGTGAGCACGGTGTATGAGATGCCACCAATGCCTTTCGACGCGAGCCGTGTCCGCTTCCAGATTCAGTGTCTCGACTTACGCAGACTCACCTGAAGGGCCAAGGGGCTGTTTTTTGCTTTGGCAGTGTTTTCGCCTTCTCAGGATTGGACTCAACACCAATCCGCGCCCCCGAGCACCGAAGGCCCGAAGCCAGCCCGTGCACGAGTCCGCGGAAAGGATGGTGTCAGCAGCGGCTCCTTGCCGTCACTAGTTAGCTCAAGATCCTGCGATGGTATGCTCGGGACAAGAGTCTTCCTTTCGCTTCTGCGTGATGCGGAAGTCACATACAGCTTGACTAACGCACGACACACCAGGGTGATCCTTCATGGTGTTCGTCATACGCATTGAAACGTCAGCAGGCCAGAGCAGGTCAGGAACGATTTGTTCGCTACAGCACTTGTGAAAGCAAGCCCGAAAATTGGGCGAAGGATGCTGAGGGTACCTCTTACACCATACACAATTCGCGTTGAATAAGCGCATGCGACGGCAAAGGGAGAGGGGCTTGGATTCAAGTCTCTACAGAATCAGAGTCACGGACCCGAAAAGCTGAATCTTCATGGTTTTCCGAGCTGCAACAGTGCAATCTACAGATGCGCTGAATGTTCAGCGAACCTGCGCACTGCACGACATCGTGATGGAATCCCGCCATGGTTTTGCGTGCAATTCAATGCGGCCGAGGAGCACCAACGCTTTGCCTGCCAGAGCTCAGACGAGCTGTGTTGAGTTGGCCGAAGCAACACCCCCAAATCAGGCTTTGCATTTTTTGTCCGATGGCTTACACTTTGTTGCAATCACCAGCGACCACAGTAGTCACCGCACTGGAGGTTTACGGTATTTTGCATCGTGGAGCTTGAGGCTGAGAGTGGCCCTGGGCTAGAATCCGTTTGGAACTCTCACCTTGCGGCTGTGGGATATGCGCCATGTACATTCTCCCATCAACTCTTGCGTTCTTCAAGCTTCAGGCTACACTGAAAAGATATCCGATCCCCTCGGCCCTGTCCACCGCCCAGATCATTCGACATCTCCGGAAGGCACTACAGCATCAAGAGTGCCGGCCGACTTCGAAACGATGTGTTTGCGTGCGTATGCACGCACACGCACACGCGCACGCGCACGCGCACGCGCAGGCTCACGCGTACGCGCCCCACCAGCACCCGCACCCGCACGGGGCCGCACACACCGGATCGATGGTTCGTGTGTCGATGTATACAGATAGATAGATACAATTACTTGAATACAGTAGAAATAGACAGACATAGAAAGTAACAACAGCTGAAGAAACCTACATTTACAGTTATGTGGGCCGCGGTAAATATCGCGAAGATGTATAAAAGCATCATGTTTCGTGTGTAACCTGCTTGTTCGCGCCAGCATCGAATGGAGTGGCAGTGGCAGTATGTCTCTATTTCAGCCCTCCTTACTTACTGTGTTGATCGTGGCAAGCCCCCATGAACTACCGACCCTCGTTTTGTATCGTAAATACCGTATCAAACCAGCTTTTCCGGCAGGTCCGGATTTTACATATTTATATCTTTCAAAGATTACCGAAATCGGCAGAAAAAACCAACTTTTTTCCTGGCGAAAAGATGGCCTTGGCTGGCTCTTGGGGGTCCTTCGTCGAGGCGTTCTCCTTCGGCAAAGGCGGCTTCAAGTGCGACAAGTGCTACTGCTACAAGCAAGGCACATGCGCTGGTTCCGGGCACCAGAGGGCGAGGATATGCTTGGGATGGCGAGGCATCAGTGGTATGGCTCTTTGTCTCGGTTGGCCTCCTTGGTGGTGGCTGGCTGTGACTTGGATCTTCCAGCTCCTCTTCGTCCAGATGTGGGCTTACCCTGGTCGGAGACAATCAACATCTGATCGCCCGAGGGCGAGAAAGAGCAGACCAATCCATTGGGCAAGACGGCGTCCTTGGGGCCCGTGCAAGTATATACGGAGAAGGCTAGCAGGCAAAGTGCATCCGTGGGGACCCAGGTCCAGGGCTCAACCTGTGGGTGGTGCGGCCCTTCGACGGCTTTTGGTCCAAAGGTGCATTTGCTGGAGAGCCCGCCGCATCGGGAATCGACGCCGTGCTTGGCATCGAGCGTTTCAGAAGAGATTACGGGATGCACTTCGCAAGGGCAAGCGCCGGGCCGTGCTCTGGGCCCTTTGCAATGGCGCTACACGACGGCCTGCGGCACCGATGAAGAACGACTCCAAGTTTGAGGGTGGCATCGGTGCTTCTTTCCGGGGAGGTGGAGGCGGAGCAGCCGCCACTACATGCAGAAAAAGGGGCGAAGGACAGTTGCTCGATGCTCTTGCTGCTGTCCTTTCCAGCTTTGCTTCGGGCGGAGACCAAGGGGGAGGAGAAGCCGCGGATCCCGATCAAGATCAGCTCCTTCTTCAAGCTCTTCAAAGCTTGGTGGCCAGAGCCAAAAAGCAGCCTAAGGGGTTGATTGATCGGCTCGGTCAGCTTGTTCAGGTCGCCCGGCAAGGGCAGCTTCGAGCGAAGAAAGCCAAGAAAAAGAAGGGCAACGATGTGCCCTGGACTCCGGATCCTCATTGTGACGATGATGATTGGCAAGTGGTCCAGCATAAAGGTCGTGGTCAAAAAGGCAAGGGCAAGGGAAAGGGCAATGTGCCTTTTGTACCTGCTGCCCCTCCCAGCTCGTGGGCTGATGTCGTCAGCCAGCCTGCCAGACAGAAGGGCAAAGGACAGGGCAAAGAGAAAGGAAAGTCAAAAGGGAAGGGCTTTGGCGGCAAAGGGCCTGGCGTGCAAACACCGGGCAACCACAAAGGCAAGGACCACCCCACGAAGGGCGGCAAAGCCGGTGGCAAGAACCAGCCAAAGACCGTCGCCAAGGACGTCTCGGAGCCCACGGCCGGCAACTTCAAGCAATTCCCGATGGTGAGCCTTGGCGGTTTCAAAGCCAGGGTGGCCGCTGGAGAAAAAGGCCCGGTCTGGGTCTACGTGAAAGAAAGTGAAGATGCACGGGCCGCTGGAGACCTGGGGCTGCTGCATGAGCTTCCGTCCATGGGCATCGTCTTCAAGCATCGCTCGGCCTCTGAACCAACACCACAGGACCCTAAGGACGCCTATGGTGAGGCTGTGCGCTTGATGGCTAAGGACGCGGATGGCAACATTGCTGCCGGCTCCTTCTTCAAAACCTTTGTGGGCAAGGGCTACCCCGAGGACCTTGGCATGAAAGGCAGCAAGGCAGCCAACACACCCGCTTCTCAGAAGCTGGTCACTCTTCGGCTGGTTGTGCCTCGGGCGGCCCTTTCCTGGGGTGCATGGAGCAACTTCAAGAAAGAGCCGAAAACTCACACTACCAAAGTCCTCGGCAAGGCGCTTCACAGCTGCTACGGCTGGGAAGAAAGAACTGTGGAAAGCAAAGCTGGACACAAGGATGTCTTCTTTCAGGGATACGGCAGGATACTCAAGGACTCCGTTGACACCGCCTTGGGCTGCTCTGGCAAAGAGGGCCTCTTCCTTGAGACTTTGGCTTGCGATGGGAAAGAGAAAATCCCAGTGCACTGGGAAGACCCGGTGGAGAATGAGAGTGCTGAGAGCTATTTGGCTCGGGTCGCCAGCATTGCGGAGAAGGGGAACAAGCCGCTGGCGTGGAGGAAAGGTGGGGGTTCGTGCTTGGGTTTGCGGTACCGACACCTTGCTGAACTTCCTGCGGCTGTTGCTTCTTACTCGTGTTCCAATGTGCCAAAGGGCTGGAGAAGCGATGACCTCGTCACCTTCTTGGTCAGTGCTGGCTGGCAACAAGTGCAAGTTTTGATGGAGCCTCGTCGGCGGTTGGGTTGGGTCGTCAAGGCCCTTGCACCCAACAATGACGGGACACAATTCATTGAGGGCGAAGATGATATCCTTGTGGTTTTGTCCAAACGTACAGGAAGCCGGGCGCCTTACAAGGAATCTTCGACCAGATGGAAACCGACGGCTGCTACGAGGTCGTCTTTTAGTTTTGGTCCACACGTCTCGGATGAGTTTGTGGACGCTAGCGAGGGAGGGGATATGGAGCTGGATGGGCAGGAGCAGGACAGTGCTCAGGCGGTGGCAAGGTCACCGGCAAGCGCTTGGCTCCTTCCAACCAGGCGGCAACCGATGCTGCAAAAGGGAAGCCTGGCATTTCTTCCAAGAAGAAAAAGCTGCAAAATCCTTGGGATGCGTGGGCCGACTACCAGCTGCTCGACTATGGCGGCGAGGGTCGATGTGGCTACAACTGCGCCGCTGCTGGCTATGGGCTATGCAAAGGCGAAAGTCACGACAAGGTGCGGACCGAGTGTGTGGCCCGTGGCAGGACTCTTCGGTTTGAAGTGGCTCAGGCCGTCGAGAATAAGCATGTGGGGCAGGACACTTGGAAACCCGATCCGTCTTGGACGGAAGCTACCGAAGGGGGCCCCATACCGGGCTCTTGGAGTGAGTGGTGCTCCAGCCTCAAGCGTGACAACCGGTGGCTCTGTGGAGATACCTTAGCTGTCGCCGCACGGAGACTCAAGGCTACGATTGTGCTCCACAATTGGTCTTCGGCCGAAAGCCGGTGGCTCGGTCCCATTGTGTTCGGCGATTTTCCCACTTGCTTCGGGATGTGTTTGTGCAGGGGGCACTACCGCCTCATCGATCCGACGACGAATGTGATCCCCAAACAGTGGAAGCTCGGGGAGAAGTTCGCTGGAGGAGGACTCCATCGGGGCGGTGGTTGGTTGCCTTCTTCCTCTTCGGTGGCCTCAGCCGCTTGTGCTTCGAAGGGCCGTTGGCTTCCATCGACTTCTTCATCGGCTCCGTCGGCCTCTAAGCTTCGAAGAGGGACCGAGGGAATGAAAATTGATTGTCCGGGGGGGCCGGGGACTTCTACTTCCTTGTCGGCTCCTATGGCACCACGATCGGCGGCTTCAGCTTCTTGCGCTTCGGGGGGCAGTTGGCTTCCTTCGGCGTCCTCGGCTCCTTCGGCGTCTATGCTTCGCAAACAGACCGTTGAGCTCGCAGCCACACCGTGCTGGTTTTCCACCACCGAGTGCCTCAGCTTCTTCGAAAACGAGGCGGTCGACAAGGACGGGTGCTTGGCTGCCTGCCAGGTCTGAGTGCTCTTCTGTGCTTTCGTGCTCCTCTACTGCTACAAAACTCCCGGCAAGCAAACCCCCTCTCCCGGCCCGGGAGGAGGGGGTTACTTTGAGGCATTCTGGACCCCCAGTGCCTCGGTACA